GGGGGCAACCCAGACCATCCCCAGGGCCCCTGCTGGCTCTGGGGCTCAAGGCACCTCAAGCCTGCCCTGGGAGCCTTCCTACCACCCTCCCTCCCTAAGCTGTGGGGGGCCTGGGCTGGGGTGAGCCCCAGCACCAGTCCCCAGGCCAGAATCTGGGCTGCTCCCCTGCTCAGGACCCCAGGGCCCAACCCAGGGCACCTGCCCATAGAGGTGCTCCAAGTGCACCAAGACCCAGTTGGGAGCTGTGATTCCTAACCCCCCACCCCCACCGACTGGCTTCCCCACAGTAGGAGCCCTGCTCACAGGGGGAGCTGCAGGCTCGCCCACCCGCGGAGAGGGGTGGTAACAGGAATGCAGCCCCCAAGGCCCAGGCCTGCAGGCCTAAGCTCACGCCCCTGCTAGCTTCAGTTCCCTGAGGGGCCCAGGACTGTCTCCTTCAGATGCCCTGAGAAACTGCCACTGGGGAGAGACCTCCGCCTGTCCAGTCCCCTAGCCCAGGTGGCGGGGCCCAAGTGAGTCCCAGGCCTGGGTCCTCCCCACCCACCCAGGCCGAGGAGGCTCCCAGCAGCCACCTCTCCTGGTGAAGACCCTGCCCCCAGTCTAGGCCTCAGTTTCCTCACCTGCACCACTAGGAGGGAGGTGAACAAAGGAGATTATGCAAACTCTTGGGTGTGAAAGGGCAGGGGTGGGTGGGGCTGGGCAGCTCCTTTCTTTGCTCGCCAGGTGGCTCCGGAGCCCATGGAAGGGGAACCCTGTTACCTATTTGAGCCCTTGCAGGGGCCCAGCAGAGCCAGGCCAGGGGGAATCCAGGGTTCTGGTCTCAGCTCCTACGCCAGGGTTAACTTTCCTGGGGCTGGGCTCTTCCGTCCCCACTTCCCCTCCTCCTTCCAAGGAGGAGTCTGTCTGACAGCTCCCATCCTTCCCGAGAGGGAGCCCTCCGCCTGCACCCGCACAGCCAGCCTGGGGCAGGCCCCCAGTGCGAAGTTGCACCAGGCTGGGGAGAGGAATAGGGAGCTCCTGCTCCCCACGGGGAATCGGGTGCGAGGCTGAAACCTGGGATTTCAAGGACAACCCGGCCTCGCTCCCCCACTGCAGCATCCCTTACCCTGCAGGAGCCCTGGTCTGGCCTGGGACTGGGATCCAGGGTCTGAGCTGCAGCCTCCGGACATCCGGCTCTGGGATGCTTGCTCGCTCGGGCCCCCTCCCCTGTGCCTCGGGCCAGGAATGTGCTAACAACGCAGGTTGGGCCCCGCTGGCCCACTGGGCACCTGTGGACTTTGAGAGGGGACCGGGTCGGGTGGGGTGGGGCGGGGCGGGGCGGGACAGGGCGGCAGTGTGGGGCGGGGCCAGGCCCTGGCAAGTGAGCGCCATCACCTCCCAGCCACTGCTGCGCTGCAGACACAGGCCGCTTGCACCATGAAGCGATCCCTCCTGCCCTGGGCCCTGCTGCTGCTGGCGACAGCCACTGGCCCAGGCCCCCAGCCTACAGCAGGTACGCTCCCCCCAACCCTTCTGTTTCCCCATCTGTCTGTCCATCTGCCTGCTGTAGCCAGACTCCAGGCAGAACCTCCCTGGGCTCAGCCCCTGTCCATCTGTTGGACCATCTGTGACTGTACTGGGGGTGGGAAGAAAAAATTCTGGGGAGCCCAGGGGCTGCTGGCTGGGATTCAGGGGGTGGTCTGGGCCGAGTCTGCCCTAAACTGGCTAGAAGCCAGGAGGCGGTGGCTGCCAGGAAGGGAGGTGGGGAGCTGAGATCCCTTGGCCTGCACCCCAGGCCCTGATGGAGGGAGGGTGTGTTCGCACATGGAGGAGCCCCTAGCCCCAGAGGGCCCCCAGCCTGGCCAAAAGCAAGATTGTGGGTCCTCAGGGTGAGTTGAACCCAAGAAAGTCTAGGGAAAGGCCCGAACTCCAGAGCTGGGACCCTGGCCCCGGGTTGGGCTGGACTGGTTTTCCCCAGCTCCGCAACCCCTATCTGGCCTGTCTCTCGTCCTGGGGACTCGCCCCCACCCTCCTGCCACCTAGGTCACTTACCGGCTCACTCGGCCTCCTCCCCAACCCCGCTGAGCCATCACATCCTCGGTCAATAAATATTTATTGAAGCTCTTGAGTGCCAGGCCCTGCGCTGGAGAAGTAGGGCCGCAGTGGTGGCTCAGGCCCAGGCCTGGCCCTTGACTGGCTCCTGTGGGGAGGGGGCACAGGGAAGGGCCAAATGGGACGTGTGCCTGCACCCCACCCGTTTCCACACTCCACCCCTCCCCACCACACCGGCTCCAGAGGGACAGGTCCCTGCAGCCCCCGACCAAACTACCCTCAACCCTATCCTGGCCCTGCTAGGCCCTCTGCTGGAACTACCCCTCCTCTCCCCTGAGAGCAGGGGGGCTCCCCTCACCTTCTCCCCAGAGGGTGAAGTGGGCTACCTTTGGGGTAGTCCGGCCCAGGGGTTCTTCCCCCAAATTTTTATGTCTGGAGGCATTTCCGTCTTTCAGACCAACTGGATAAGAATTATCCTGTCCGGGGGGCCCTGAAGGTTTCCACTCTGTCCACACAGTGGGCAGTGCATCTCAGGTCAGCATCCTCCTGGGGGTGCTTCTAACGAGCCCCAGGCGGGTAGACGCGGGCCCTGAACACAAGGTGGCCAGGCTGGGCACTCAGGACCCTCTCCTCCAGGTGCCCTGGGGAGCTGCTCCCACAGATGTGGGGACCGAAGCGGGCCATGCTCCTGCCACCCGACCTGCTTTGGCCTGGGCAGCTGCTGCTTGGACATACGGGACTTCTGCCTGGAGGTCTTGCCCTATTCGGGCTCCATGATGGGCGGCAAGGATTTGGTGGTGCAGCATCTCAACTGGTCCAGCCCCAGTGACGGCGTGATCTGCAGGTGGGAGGCACAAGGGCCAGGCCACCAGGGCTCCATGCCTGCTTGGGCCCAGACCGGCTGGCTGGCTGGGTGGGGCTGCCGGGAAGGAGGACAGGGACAGCTGGCTGGCTGGGTTCCCCAGGGAGGAGGCTGGGAGCCTGACAGAGAGTCAGCCCACGCTGGCCCAGCCTCTCCTTCCTCCTCCGCCCCTCTCAGTTTTAAGGAGAGTGTCCAGACCCGAGGCTTAGTGGACTCCGCGGGACGAGTGCACTGCGTGTCACCCTTGCTCTACGAGACTGGCCGCATCCCCTTCACGCTCTCCATGGACAACGGCCGCTCCTTCCTGCGCTCAGGCACCTGGCTGGCTGGTGAGCCCCGACGTGTTGGGGGCACCTGGCCACAACCTCCCAGGTCCCACAGGGACTTTCCCTGGCACTAATCTATGCACACCTGGCCAAATCTGGCTGAACCAGTCCCTCTGGAGGCCCGCCCGATGACAGGGGTGTGGGTTCCCCAAGATCCTTTCCCTCCCCACCTGCTGGCATCCACACAGGAGTTCCAGCATGGAGGGAGTGGGGACAGAGTGCAGGACCAGAACCAGAGTGCAGGATCCCGCGACCCCTGTCTTTTCCTGCCATCAGGGTCTGGGGGAGACCCTTGCTCCAGTGGGACTGCTGTGCATTGTCTGTGGGAGGTTCCCTCCTGCTCTAAGGGCCCCAGGCCTTCGCTTACCCTGCACCTCCTCCTGCCCAGTGCACCCCAGCAAAGTGTCGGAGTCAGAGAAGAGCCAGCTAGTGAACGAGACCCGCTGGCAGTACTACGGCACTGCCGGCACCCTTGGCAACCTCACCCTGACCTGGAACACCTCGGCTCTGCCTGCCAACTTCGTCACCATTGAGCTGTGGGGCTATGAGGAGACAGGTGAACAGAGATGGGGGAGAGGAAAGTGCAGCTGAGGAAGGGGCACTGGCTGGAGTGTGGGGCAGGGAGAGGGGAGCAGCATAGGGAGGCCGACCCCTGGATGTTTGAGTATCAGCTCTGGGAAGGGCTATGGACAATCTCAGCTCTTGGATATAAGGCTTGTCCTGGAAATAGAAAAAACTTGCTCTGCCCCATCCTCTCTGAGCCCCTGGATGGCTGGACCTGGCTCCCTCACCCAGCAGGGCCGTTCCTCCTATGGAGACTCTGTCCATACTTCTGTCCATCTACCAGGCTGCTCTGAGCACCAAAGTCTGGTGCCCGCCCCCTCCTCTTCCCCGGGGGTCCTGGGACAGGCCCCGGGGCTGACGAGGCCTTCTGTCCCCAGGGAAGCCATACTCAGAGGAATGGACAGCAACGTGGTCCTACCTGTACTCCCTGGCCACAAACATCCACAACTCTGGCTATTTCACCTTCACACCAAAACCTGCGCCCCGAAACTACCAGAGATGGGAAGTGGGAGCCCTCCGCATCATCGACAGCAAACACCATGCAGGGGAGAAGTAAGGCCGCCCTGCCAAGGGCTGGCAGGGCCCGTCTGCCTGCTGCCCCCCGGGACTGACGGGCAGCCAGGGGCATGGGCAGGGAGGCTGGCCCCTAGCGTGCATGCGTCTCCACAGGGACGTGCACGCGCTCTGGAGCAATGAGCATGCGCTGGCCTGGCATCTGGGCGACGACTTCCGGGAGGACCCTGTGGCCTGGGCCCGCACTCAGTGCCTGGCCTGGGAGGAGCAGGAGGACCAGCTGCCCGACTTCCTAAAGGAGCTGCCCGACTGCCCCTGCACCCTGGCCCAGGCCCGGGCTGACTCTGGCCGCTTCCACGTGAGCTCCTACCCCAGTCTGGGCCCAGGAGTGTGTGAGGGGGCACGAGGGGCGAGCTGCCTCCTCCAGACACATGGCTAGGCCACCCAAGGCAGCGCAGGGGGAGGCAGGTAGAGGCCTGGGAGGGGAGCCTGGGATCTGAGGGCCCCTGAGGGGCTGGATCCCAGGGAAGGGATGGCAGAGCCCAAAGCCAGGGCAGGTGACACCAACCGGCTGCTCTTCAGACGGACTACGGCTGTGACATCGAGCGCGGCAGCGTGTGTACCTACCACCCCGGGGCTGTGCACTGCGTTCGCTCCGTGCAAGCCAGGTGAGCCCCACGACAGTGGGAAGAGGCGGGCTGGGGGCTGGGGGCAGGATCCCACAGCACCCTGACCCGTCCTTGTCCCCAGCCCCCGATACGGCTCAGGCCAGCAGTGCTGCTACACCGCGGCGGGCATGCAGCTCCTGACGGCCGACTCCACCGGCGGCAGCACTCCAGACCGCGGCCACGACTGGGGCGCACCCCCATACCGCATGCCACCCCGCGTGCCCGGCCTCTCCCACTGGATCTATGATGTCATCAGCTTCTACCACTGCTGCCTCTGGGCGCCCGAGTGCTCCCGCTACATGCAGCGGCGGCCCTCCAGTGACTGCCGCAGCTACCAGCCCCCGCGCCTGGGTGGGTGCCCGCCGGGTGGGTGCCAGCCAGGGAGGGGGCCATGGGTTGGGCCAGGGAGATCCGCCTGACCCTCAGCTCTCCCCAGCTTCCGCTTTTGGGGACCCACACTTTGTCACCTTTGATGGCACCAACTACACATTCAACGGACGTGGCGAGTATGTGCTGCTGGAGGCTGTGCTGACTGACCTGAGGGTGCAGGCGCGGGCCCAGACCAGGACGACACCTGAGGGTGAGGCCGGGCTCCAGGTGGCTCAGGGTCACCCCAGGGGAAAAAGAGGCTGGTGTTGAGTGGACCCCATTCTGCACCCACCATCCCAGGCTCTCAGGACCGAGGCACTGGGCTGACCGCTGTGGCTGTCCAGGAGGGCAACTCAGACGTGGTGGAGGTCCGGCTGGCCAGTAGGGACAGGGTCTTGCAGGTGCTGCTGAACCAGGAGGTGCTCAGCTTTGCAGAGCAGAGCTGGATGGACCTAAAGGGTGAGTAAGACAGTGGGGGCCCTCGCTCCCTTGCCCTCCCCACCCGGGGCCTCCACACCTCTCACTGGCCCTGGCATGAAGTGGAGGTGGAGTCCAGGGCACAGATGGGGCAGCCAGTGTCAGGGTGTGAGAGCCGACAGACAGCCGCCACGTACAACCCTTGTATGAGGCTCCCTATGGGGCCGAGGGAGGTGGAGTGTCACAGCGGGCTGGGCCCTGGGGTGCCCTCCCCTGCCCCTGAGGCTCATGGGTGATGCCCATCCACCTCTGGGCTGAGGGGTCACAGCATGTTGCCTAAAGGGTGACTCTGACCCCAAATCCACCTGTGCCCAGGCATGTTCCTGTCAGCAGCTGCTGAGGACAGAGTATCAGTCATGCTGTCATCGGGGGCTGGCCTAGAGGTCAATGTCCAGGGTCCGTTCCTGAGTGTGACAGTCCTGCTGCCTGAGAAGTTCCTGACCCACACACGAGGCCTCCTGGGGACCCTCAATGATGATCCTACAGATGACTTCACCATGCGCAGCGGCCGGGTCCTGCCTCCCAGCACCAGTTCCCGAGAGCTGTTCCAGTTTGGGGCTGACTGTGAGCGACCAGCAGGCATAGGCTAGAAGGGATGGAGGGGTTGTTGGGGGGACCCCAGACCCACAAGCCAGGCACTGCATGTCTCCCCAGGGGCCGTGGAGAACGCCTCCTCTCTGCTCACCTATGACTCTGAGTTCCTGGTCACCAACTTCCTGCTCCGGCCCAAGCACGACTCCACTTTCCTACCCCTCTTCCCAGAGGAGATCACCTCCGGCCCCAGCCAGGCAGCTGAGGTAGCCGAATTGTGTGGGGATAACATGTTCTGCAGATTCGACGTGGCAGCCACCGGGAGCACGAATGTAGGCAATGCCTCGCGGGTGGCCCACATGCAGCATTTGCTTCGTGCACAGAGTCTGCAGCCGGGTGAGAGCAGCGTGGGGTGTGGGTGGAAGTGGGGGGTCCGGGCAAGGGGGTGGGCACCTGGTGCTGGGACACGACCCCCCCAGCGGGCGGCGTCCAGCGTCCAGCGTCTCAGGCCTGCCATCTGTGCCCCACCCCTGCACCAGTGGTGTCCTGCGGCAGGCTGGCCCCACCCCTCAATGGGCGCAAGGAGGGCATGAGTTACCTGGCGGGCTCCACTGTCCACTTCCACTGCGACAACGGCTACAGCCTGGCCGGCGCAGAGGCCAGTACCTGCCGGGCTGATGGCACATGGTCCAGGCCCACACCTACGTGCCAGCCAGGTGAGGATGCCCTGTCCACCTGCCAGCCCCACCCCACTCAGTGCCCTGCCCACCTGCTCCCATGCTTGGTCTGCCCTCACCACCTGCCGCCTCTCCAGGACACCGGAGCTATGCGGTGCTGCTGAGCATCATCTTTGGCAGCCTGGCGGTGGTGGCTCTGGTCGCACTCGTCTACGTGTTCCTACGTCACAGGAAGAGCGGCACGTGAGACCCCCTTCACCCTCCCAGACCCATGGTCCCACTCCTCCTAACCCCTGTGCCCCTCTTAGGCTCACCCTGGGGCACAAGTGGAACCGCTGTGCCTGCTCTAGAACAAGTCTCTGTTGCAGGGCCACCTGGGGTTCGCAACCTTGAGGGGAGCATGCTTGGCCAGCAGCACGAGACTCATGGGGCCTCCCCGGGGCCAGAGACCAGCCTTCCAAACTCCCAAGAATGTGCACCCCACACTACACCTGGGACCTGGACACCTGGGACCTGAGCCTTTAATGCCTGTGGACCCGAGGCCTGGTGCCCTGCTCTGTCACCGAAGCCCCGGATCTTGAGCTCTAACCGTGGAGTTCCAGAAGCTGACACCCAGCACTGTTCCCCAAATATGGTTCTAATTCCCCAGGCCGGAGACTCCGTATGCTTGAATTCTGAGACCTGTCTCCCGAGCCTGAATACTCCAGCACCTGCTATTCAAAGGCCAGTACCTCAGAATTCCCTGCCTACGACCCTGCTCCCCAGACCTAGGGCCCCAACACGGGAGCCCCAGGGCCAGGCTGCCTTGATTCCCAGTCCCTGGGCCTGGCCTGAGACTGCAGGTGGCTCCAGCCTTCTGTGTGGAGAGTTACCCTCTAAACTCCAGGCTTGTAATTCTGAGTGTTCTGGAACATCTGAAACACCCCTCCCCACTGGAGGAGGAGAAAACAAGCCTGGTGCTTCTACCCTGGTGTCATGATGCTGGTGCTGTGCCTCGGTTCTGGGGAGTCCTATGCGGTCCGCCTGGGTCCAGGGCTTTTGTTCACTGCCAGGTCACCTGGCACAGGTCTCTTCCCAGCCTCTGTCTCTCCATCTGTAAAGTGGAGCTAGAACAATGACCTTGTCTGGGAAGGGGAAGGGTCTCCATGGAGTACCCAGGAGGAGGGGCGGGCCCGGCCTGCCGTCCCCCAGTGTAGGTGCCTGCCGCTTACCCCGCAGCGCGCTGGCAACCCGGCCCTGGGCCCCCCACGCTGCCCTGGCATTGCCCCAGAGGCAGTCTGGTAGTGCTGCTCCAACCAGGTCCCGTGTTCCAGGTCCCTGGGCTCTTCGCCACGCGTGTCCAGAAGCCGGTGCAGAGCTCAGGCCTCCTGCCACTGCTGCCCTGTTTTTGGCCAGGGTGCTGAATGGGGGCCTGGGGTGGGTAGGATGGGGTCAGATTTGCGTCACAGGTCACAGATGGAGAAAGCGCTGGGGAGGGTGGAGTTGGAGGCTGATGCCCCCTCAGCAGGGTGGGTGACTCAGACTGAGGGCTGGGCCAGGGACGGGGTTGACCACGAGATCTGGAGTGGGTGGGAGGCTCTGAGAGGAGCCCTACACAGCGGCCTGCAGTGCCAAGAGTGGCCACATGGAAGCAGCAGAGGATAAGGACAGTGGAGACAGAGGCTCTGCTGGGACCCAGGCCGTCAGGAAGAGCACTCAGCCCCTGCCATGCAGCTGGGCCAGCAGACTTGTGGTCACAACCTCAGGCAAGGTCCGTGCAGGCCACCTCTTCGTCTCCCCTCGTCTGGGAGGGCCTTGAGTCTTCCCCCCAGTCTCAGGTGGCACAGGTTACCCAAGGTGGCCCAGCCAGTGCTGACCACTTGGGCAAGAGCCCAGGCCACCCTGCCTCCTCAGCCTCACCTTTAGCAGAGGGTCCTGGGCAGAGGTCAGGGGCTGGGTGACAGCCTCAGATCCCATCTGGAGGGATTCCTGGAGTAGGCACGCTGGGGCACGTTTGAAAGATCAGAGCAGAGCCTGAGGTTGGGGGCCTCCTGGGGCGGCACCAAGGAGACTGGAGGAGGGGAATGGGGCCAGTGCTCTTGTCCTTCCAGACCCCGTGCCCTGCCTCCCCACCTCTCTGGGCCTCCAGCTCAGGACGGGGCTGAGGGCCCGCCCCTTGGTCCCTGGGCAGGTGCTTTCCGCTTGGGGGATGACATAAGGCAGGGCTGGCCTCCCACCAGCCTGGGTCCACAGTGCCTCCTGATGTGAACCAGACGGGGCCAGGCACAGGGTCAATTTCCTCCCACGCGGCAGCCTGGACACATGGGAGCAGGTGCACCAGGGCTCAGGAGAGCAGGGGCAGCTTCTCAGCATCCAGACCAACAGGCCTCAAAGGACGAGTTGAATTCTCAGAGAGGTGACTGGTCAGAGGGCTTTCCAGGCAGAGGGACAGGCTGAGAGGAAGGGACATGCAGTCAGGTCCAAGGAGCAGTGGGGGTGGTGGCGGGGACAGAGCTGCTAGGCCTCACTCTAGGACAGGCCCTAGAGCTGCCCAGCCCTCCCCAGCAAGAGAAGGGATCCACTGTGGCCCTGGCCCCAGACCTCAGACAATCCCAGTGCCAGGGGCAGGCCAGGCTGGGAAGCCCCGACACCTGATGGGTTTTCCCAGGGACTCCTAAGGAGTCTGGAGTGCTGCTGGGTGTGTGTGAGGGCCCAGGATCCCCCAACCACACACAGACTCCCTAGAGGCACCAGAGAAGTGGTCTCCCCAAACCACAGCTCCAGGGAGTGATGACACCAGAACCCAGCGGCCAGTCCCATATCCCTTGTACTAGTGGGGTTTGGGGACAGTAATCCGGGGACATCGTGCGAGAGCTAGGAAGCCAACCTGAGCCAGTGAGGCAGTCCCAGGATCCTAGCTGCACCCCGGGTGAGGGGCAGGGGGCAGGATGCCACAGCCAGGCTAGGTCCCCACCAAAGCAGGAGCCGTGCAGGCGCGTGGGGCCCAAGCCACAAAGCCACGGAGGCAGCAGCCCTGCCGCAGACTCCTCCACGGGCCTGAGGTGGGGAAGACCCACTTCTCCTCCAGCCTCCCACTTGGGTCTTCTGTTGACTGAAAAGTGGGAAGTGGCTGATGGGGGAGGGACCAGTATGGGAGCTGGAACCCCTCCTCCAACAGGCTGCTTCCTCCCGTAAGCCCCAGGTGATGGAGTGCCCATCCTGGGCCAAGCCTCTGCTGGGAGACCCCCATCCCCATGGTGCATGGTTGGGAGGAGGGGGTGGTCATCGTGGGAGCAGGAGCCCAGGGGGTGCCTCCTGGAGGAGTCTGGCTCCAGCCGATTTCAAAGGACAAAAGCCACTAGGGAAGTGGGATTGAGTAGGTACCTGCCAGGCATTTAGCAGTCCCAGCTGCCCCAGGACCTCTTCTGAAAGTGCTGGGTTACATTTTCCAGGCCCCCTTGGCCTTGGCGCAGTCACATGACTGGTTTCTAGCAGAAAGGGGTGGGGCGCTTCTAGGGCCAGTCCATAACACGCCACAGGCACCCCTCCATGCCCTTCTCCGCTCCCACCGATGCCCGCATGGCTTTGGGAGCCGTGCCAACCTAGGTCCCCAGCATGTGGAAGGATCCCCATGCCCCACCTTGTCACCCATCCAGTGCCGCTGTGGGAATAATAAACTTCCCTGTGGTTAAGCCGTAATATATTTTGGGGTCTAATTGTTGCAGCAGTTGGTCTGTCTAACCACCACACCAGAGGCAGAGTTCTGAAAACGTGGTGGCCTTATGTTTCTCATTAGTGTTGAAAATACGTACACAAGGTTTTAAAAAATTCAAATGGGAGGGAGGGTATAGCTCAGTGGTAGAGTGCGCGCTTAGTGTGCACAAGGCCCTGGGTTCTATCCCCAGTACCTCCGTTAAAAAAAAATTCAAGTGGGTCCTCCAATGTTCACAGCAGCGTTATTCACAACAGCCAAAAGGTGGAAGCATCTTAGGTGTCCATCAACGGATGAATGCATAAACAAATGTGGTCCATTCATAGTATGGAGTGTTACTGGGTCGTAAAAAGGACATTCTGACACGGGCTACGACATGGATGAAACTTGACATTATTCTCAGTGGAATAAGCCAGACAAATCCTATAGGATTCCACTTACAGGAGGTCCCATGAGGAAATTCACAGAGACAGAAAGTAGACTAGATAGAGGTGGCTCAGGGCTGGGAGGGGCGGTGGGGAGCTGTTGCTTAATGGGGGCAGTTTCCGTTTGGAAAGGTGGGAAAGGTGGAGGTGGGTGGTGGGGATGGTTTTACAGCCGTGTGACTGTGCTTAATGCCTCCCAGCCGGACACTTAAAAATGGCTAAGACGGTCAATTCTGTGTTATTTGTATTTTACTACAATTAGAAATGTAAAAGCTCCAACAGTAGAATTTACATCACCAACCAGGCTCCTGTTGGTGGACATTAGTATGTGTTTTTGCTTCTTCAAAGGCTGCAGGCTTTGTGGGTGAGTTCACATTTACCGTAGGAGCATTCACACGAGATGACTGGCTGGTTAAACAGCGCATGTGTTTTCTTCCTAGCATTGTAGCTCCTGCCCCCGCACCCCACCAATGGCCTCGGAGATCTCCTGGTCCCTCGACAGCAGTCCCTCATCAGCATAAAGGTGTTCCGCCTCCAAAGGGACTCTGGTAAATAAAGTATAAGTTGTAAGCAGGGGTGCACTGCTCGGGGCACAGCTCAGTGAATCAGTCCCAAGCGAACTCGCCCAGTTAACCACCACTTGGGTCAAGAGATGGAGAGGCATGCAGCCCCACATCTTCTCAGTCGGTCACTGCCCTCTCCAGTTTTCCGCACCCTAGGTGGGTTCTGCCCGGTGGCATCTGACACAGAGGGGGTTGTAGAGTTGTAGGCGCTCTCTGTGTCCAGATGCGTTTGCATATTACGTCCCTGGGATTCATCCGTGGGACGGTGTGCCGAAATTGACATTTTTTGTCCTGAGAATCGTCCCAGCAAATGGATTTATTTATCTGTCTTTCTGTGGAAGCACACTGGAGTGGTTTCTGGTTTGGAAGATGGCTAGTCCTGGAAGCGTTCTTGGATGTGTCTTGATGCACAGACGTGTGCGTTTACGTGGGTGAGTTCCGAGGAGGAGCACTGCTGGGTGTGAGGCGGGATGTGGTAGTTTTAGCAGATAACACCAGTTTTCCAAAGTGGTTTTACGCATCGGCACTCCCACTGGCAGCCAGCGTGTGCCAGTTCCATTATGTCCTGTCTTTGCCAACACTTGGCATGTCTGTTTCTTGCTTTTGGGCTATTCTGATGGGTGTATAGTGGTAGCGTATTGTGGACTTACTTTGCATTTTGTTTGTTTTGGAAGGGGTGGATAAATGGGTTTATTTACTTATTTTTTAATAGAGATACTGGGGATTGAACTCAGGACCTCTTGCATGCTGAGCACACACTCTACCACTGGGCTATACCCTCCCCTCCAGCTTTTTTTTCATTCTTTGGCACCAGTGAAGCCATGCACCTTCTCATTTGTTCGTTGGCCATCTGGAGCTCCACTTTCATGAGTGCCTGTTCAGGTCTTTCGCGCATTTTCTGTTGGGTTATCTGGAGTTCTCTAATTGCCTTGTAGTTCTTTGTTCTGGATAAGGGCTTGTTGTCAGATAGAAGCACTGCAAATACTCTCGCATCGCATGTGGTGCCTTTTCACTGTTTTAATGATGTCTTGTTGAACAAAGGTTCCTAATTTTAATACAGTTCAATTTGTCAAGTTTTCTTCTTTTATGGTGAGTACCTGCTGTGTCCTGTTTAAGAAACACTTGCCTGCGCCAAAGTCACAAGGCTATACTTTGTTCTCCTACAAAAGGATTATTGTGTGGTATTTCATAATTAGATCTGCAAGCCATCTGGAATGATTTTTGTGCATGATGTGGGGTAGGGGTCAAGATACACGTTTTTCCTGTGGTTATCTCGTTGATCAGCACTGTTTATTGAAGCACCATTCCTTCCCCCGTGCACTGCTATGTTCCCCACCATCAGAGGTCAGGGGACTGCTCTGTCCCAGAGCCCAGCTCATTTTTGTACCAAAACCAAATTGCCTTAATTGCCATAGCTTATTCTTGGTCTCTGGTAGCGGGAGTCCTCCGTTTTGCTCTTCCTCAAGATGTCCTGTGCTGGTCCTGGTGCTGGGTGTTTCCATATGAATTTTAGCATCGGCTTGCCAATTTCCACACACAAAAAATAGCCTGAGAGGATTTTAATTAGGACTGCGTTGGATTTATAGATGAATAGCGGGTGGCAGGAGATTTGGCGTCTCCGTAATGATAAGCCATAAACATTGTATAACCCTCCATTTATTCAGGTCTTCCTCAAATTCTTTGATCATATGTTGTAGTGTTCAGTGTAGAGGTCTTGCATACCTCTGTTAATTTTACTTCTAGGCTTTGATTTTTTTTTTCATGCTATTGTCAATAATTTCTGTTCAAAAGGTGTGTTCTATTTGTGACCAGTAAGTAGAAATATCATTGATTTTTGTGTTTTCCTTGATTCCAGTGATCTTGTTAAATTCATTTATTTCTACTAGTTTACCTGGAAAGTATCTACAAATATTGCCAGTTTTATGCTCTCCTTTCCGATCCTTATACCTTTTATTTGTTTTTCTGCCCTCTTGCCCTGGCAAGGCTTCTCTTACACTGTGGGAAGAAACTGAGCTTTGCTAGCAGTGCCTGTCTGCGTCTCAAAAGGAAGGTTTTTATGTTTTACCATGAAGTATGATGTTTGCTGTAGGGTTCTGTAACAGCAGCTTAACAGATTAAGGAAGCTCCTTTCTATGTCTCTTTAACTGAGTGTTTTTATTTGGAGTGAGAGTTGGGAAATTTTTATCAAATGCTTTTCTGCGTTTATTAAGATGGTCAATGATTTTGTCCTCTCTATTCCCTTAGCGTCTTAATACAGGGACTTGCATTGTTTGATTTTCTGACGTTCAGCCAATCACGCATTCCCAGAGTAAATCCAAATTGGTGGTGATGAGTTATTTTACGTGTTTATTTATACACGTCTCGCCAGATTTGTCTTGCTCTGGTTTCGTTTAGGGATTTTGCGTCTCTGTGGATGAGTAGAATCAGCCTCTGCTTTTCTTTCATGAAATGTCTGTGTTAGGTTTGCATCTCAGGATTTTGATGGCTGCATTCAAAGTTGGGCAATGTTTTCTCTTTTCTGTTCTCTGGAGGAGTCTGTGTACCACTGGTGTGTTTTTTTTGTTGTTTTTTTTCCCTTCCTTCAGTGTTTGGAAGCATTCACAGAGGAAGCCTTTGGGCTGGAGATAGTTACTTTGTCCCCGTGGGATCTCACTGTTATGTTAACTGGCATATTTATCAGTGAGGTTGAGCAACTTTTTATATGTTGAAACAGCTGTTCTCTTTCTGTGGTCTGTTGAGTTGTATCTTTGATATTAAATATTCAAGGACTTAAAGAAACCAGCCCCATATCATGTTATGTATTGAAACTCTCTCCCCAAGGTTTTCACTGGTCTTTGAAGATACCTTCCGCATCAAATTTTAAAATTTTTATATGTTCCAATCTATTCCTTTTTTTTTTTATGGCTTCTTGATGTTAGGTCATGGCTTAAAAAGGCCTTCCCCGCTCTGAGAACACAAATAAAGAGTTCTCATGTTTTCTTATGATATTTATATTTATTATATACTATTTATACTTATATGATATTTATATTTTAATCCTTAAATGTTTGATCCTACTGGAATTTACTTGGGTGGAAATGAAAAGGCGGGGTCCCACTGTACTGCTTTCCCCGACGGCTGCTTCTGCTCCTGACTGTTAACCAGTCTTCTTTTTCATAACTGCTGAAACGTTCCTTTAGCAGAGACAAAATTTCCATAATTATTTGCTTCTCTTTGTGGACTTTGTGTTGTGATTGATTGGTTTATTTATCTGCTGTTTTTTTGTTTTGGGGTTTTTTTGGGGGGTGGGGGAGGTAATTAGGTTTATTTGTTTAATTTTTTTAGTGGAGGGACTGAGGATTGAACCCAGGACCTACCTCGTGCGTGCTGAGCACATGGTCTACCGCCGAGCTATACCCTCCCCTTTATGCCATTTTAACTACTATCTGTTTACAGTGTGTTTTAAAATCTGATGGGTTTGCTTACTTGAGTTTTTTATTTGTTTTACAAAAGCACTGATGCAACTCAATGAGGAAAACAAAGGTCATTGTCATACATGACGCTGGAACATTCGCCCAGGAAGTTACTTTCGTTTTCCTCTGCAAGCCTGAGGGACATCTGGAATTAATTTCTGTATGTGGTGTGAAGTAGGGGTCAAGATTCATCTTTCCCATCGGTCTGCCCAGTTCCCATTTCTGGGGCTTACCCTACGCGGCCTGGGAGCGTTAGCACTTCAGTACCTACTGTGAGACTGGGAGGGTCGCAGCTCCCACCGTCCGGGAGAATTACATGAACTGAGTTTTCACACGTAAAGCAATGCAATAGCCCCTAGTCAGCGTCCAACAGACGCCGTCCCTGTCTGGAGATATATACACTCATGTTAAGGGAATATCCATTTATTTCCATTTTATTCAGTGATTTTTTTGGTTTTTTGTTTTCTTTTGTCTTTTTTAAATCAAGAAGGAGTGTTGAATTTTGTCAAATGCCTCTCTATGGAGGTGACTGACTTTTCTCATCTGGAGGAAGATGAGAGGCAGGGGTCCTCGGGGACATGGCCCGCAGGACTGTGTCAGCCCCTCCGGGACCTGCTGTCCCTTTGAACGTGTTGCTGGATTCTCCCTGCTAGTATTTTGTTGAGTTTTGTGTTGAGTTGCACAAACACAATAGGTCCCTGGTTTGCTTTGCCAAGTTTGGGGCTAGTCCTGTGCCGACTCCATAAAGTGACCGGAAATGTTCCTCTTGCTCTGCGCGGTGGGAGCTGAAGTGGCAGGAGACGCCTTCGGTCCTGACGACAGGACGCGCCTCCCCTGGGAAACCTTCCAGACGGGCACTTGCGGCAGGCGGGCGTTGCTGCCGTGTGCTCAGTTTTTCTGTGATCATTGGCATGTCTAGATCTCCACCCCTTCTGGGACTGCTTGTCATTTAGATTTAAGGTTGCCCAATTAAATATGAATTGCAGATGAACAGCAATGTTTTTAGTGTAAGTATACCTTAACTGTCACAATCCTACTTACAGCATCCTAGAAAGTAATTTTGTCAAAGTTGCCAAATTTATTTAGTAAAAATGAGTAATTTTTTCTAATACTTTTAACTTGTTCTGTAGCTTGGGTTATTTCCCCTTCTCTCTTTTTTTTTTTTGGCATATTTACACATCCTTCATTTTTACTGATTGGCTACCTAATAGCTTATTTTATAAACCTCTTCTGATTTCAAATTTATCAGTTTCTGCTTCGGTTGTTGCTAAGCCCTTCCTCTTGCTTTCCTTACTGTTCTGATTGTCCTTTTCTTATGTTAGATGCTTTATTTTGATTCTTCTTATTAATGTAACTATTTAAGTTACTATTAATGTAACTATGTAACTGTTCTGCTTTATTTAGCTGTATTCTGTGAGGGCTGAGCTATATTGACGTCAGTGTTATTTTAAAGATACCGCAGTCTCGGTTTTGATTTCCTCTGTGTTACTAGATGTTGTAAGAGGCTGTAGGAGTCACTACGTGGGCTGGGAAAGCACCTTGGTTGGCATTGCTTGTGGTCCAGGAGGGATGTGGGCAAGGGCCAGGCAGGTCTCCTGGGGTGGGATATGCAGGGAGAGAAAGGAGTGGGCTTCCTTCAGGAACCCCAGGAGCCAAGGAGGGCCACACCCGGCCTCACGGCAGGTACACGTGTGGACCGAGGTTGTGGCAGCAGCAAGGAGACAGAGGGACAAGGAGATGGAGCCAAGGCCAAGCCACGCAGATGGAGGGAGAGCTGGACACCCGAGAACTTCCTGCTGCCTCAGAGCGGCTTCTGGTTTGGCGTGTTGAGTCTGAAGTGCCTGTGGATCCCAGATGCTCTGGACTGGAGGTGACTGGATGAGTGGCTATGTGGGTCTGATGTTCCAGAAACCTGGGCTAGAGCCTGGGTGGGGACCTGTCAGCTTGCAAGGGGTAACAACTGCACCTCTAGGTCGGTGACAGCCCTGGGGATGGCAGATGGTGTCGGGAGTGGGGCACCAACCCCCCCGCAGCATGCAGGACCCAGTGATCTTGCTCTGTGGATGCTGCTGGGCGGGCGTCTGTTGTTTTAAGGCCTCGGCATGTGGGGCTCTGGCTCAGCAGTGCCAGGAAGCCCACACCCATCCCCGGCCTATGTGTCCAACTCCAGGGCAGAATGGGACGTGGAGCCCTGCCAGGCAGAGGCATGCCCTGAGGGACCTTTGGGGTGGAAAAGGAACTCCCGGTGCTCCCAGGAGCCCATGTAGGGCAGGACCCCCAGGCCAGTACAGCGAGACGCCCCCAGGGAGGGTGGCCCGCCCAGTGGCTGGCCGTTCACAGTGGCTGGGGCTCTGGGGTCCAGGGCAGCGGTTCTCAATCAGTGGTTTATTTGGTGACTGGCTGTGAGGGAGGCCAGGGATGCTGCTCAGTGCCCCACAATGCAGGGACGGCCCCCACCAAAAGGTCTCACCTGAAATGTCAACAGTGCTGAGAACATGCTGGGGATGGGGGACAGGGAGGTCTTAGGTCTTAGCGTCTTCCAGGTCCTGGGCCTTGGCCAGTGGCCCCCAGGAGTCAGGGGCAGGTGCCCCCAGGCCACACCCCCAGCATTCTGAGGGCCCCTCCCACACCAAGACCCTGAATTGGGCCACAGTGAAGTCTATTCTTTAATATTGGGCTGGAGGATACACAGGGAGTGGGGTCAGGGGTAGGGGGCACAGCCCTGTGTGAGAGGCCTGGGGAAGCTGGAGGGGCCAGGGCAGGGCCACAGGGGGATCAGGGGGAGGGCTCGGCCCCCACAGTCCATCTGCCCGGCTGTCCCCACCTCTTGCGGCCCTAGGCTGACCACCCGGCCAAGGGGTCCAGATCCTGCCAGAGCACTCAGTCCCATGGGCCAGGCCAGCCTGGGCACACATGGACGGGGGACGGGAGGCAGTGGCAGCCTCTTCAGTAGCCTGAGGCCTCTCCACCCTTCCTGGGGTCTGAGGCGGCATACACGCAGGCCCCGTCCCGGAACACAGCCTGGACCACATTCAGGAAAAAGTGCCTCTCAGTCTGGTTCTGGCCTCGGTTCTGGAGCCCCTTCTGCACCTCCTGGAAGGAGAGAAGGCCAGGTCACAGAGGAGCCAGGCCCGGGTGGGGCTCTGAGGACCCCGACTGAGAAGGCAGGACTAGGGGTTCAGGGTGAGGCTGGAGGGCACTGGATGCAGCTGTGTCTGCAGGGCATGGAGTCTGCAGCCTCCCCTCCAAGGGCCTCGGAGGAGAAGCCCAGCTCTGGGGAGCATGACCGGAGGACGACGCCCAGGCTAGAAGAGCTGGGGCTGCAGGCTCGCTTCTGTCCTAAATAGACACCCGGGGCCTCAGCGTGACACCTGAGGACTCCAGGGGCTTCGGTGGAAAAGGTCGGTACTGGGGACCAGAGCTGAGAGGCCTCCAATTTCGAGGACCTTGAAAGCAAAGCCCTCCAGAAGGCAGAGTCCAACTCAACATCCCGCTCCCGCCCCTCCCGAACAGGAGGACCCGCCCTGGTGCCAGCGCTGCTGGTAGCCTAGGACCTGCCGGCGTGAGAAGACGGAGACCCCAGATGCCAGGGACATGGGAGCCAGGCTCCTCAGGGCCCCACTGGTGAGGAATCAGCTGGAAATGTCCAACCCCCTTTGCTCTGAACACCCGTGAGGCCAAGGACATGGACCCCAGGCCCAAGGCACCCACAGTCCTCAAGGTGAGGCACTCAGAGCACGGGCCCTAAATAAAGGCTCAGGTCTGAGATGGTGAGTACAGAATTGGAGGACGTCAGGGCCCAGATGCTGGTTTCTAAGGTGCTGAGTGCCTTGCCTCCGGTGTGGTCCCCACTCTTGCCAGTCTGTGACCCTCCTGGCGCGTGAAGACCTGTGCTGTTCTGGCCGCATGTTCCTACTTAAGGTTGAAGATCTCACCCACCAGGGCCCTAAGGACCAGGGCCTCCGACCTGACAGCTGGCAAGGCCTGAGTGCGGGCAGTGTGAGGTCTCCAGACATCACCGCCTTGGGTTCTGTTTCTCCACCTGACGTGATAACCACCCACTGTCCTTAGATTTGAAGGCCAAGGTCCCCATGGCCACAGCAGGACCCGTGGTCCTCGGAGACTGCTCCTTAGGGTCATAGCCACCAAACTTCAAGGCCCTGGGGAACAATGACCCTCCCGGCCTCAGTCTTTGGCCTTGGCCGGGAAGACCCTGGGAGACGTGAGGTCTCCACCCAGAGTCGAGGACCTTCTCCTTGGGAGCCCTTAGACCTGCACAGCCAACACTCCAACTCTCCAAGGGAGCTGAGGGTCTCAGCTAGTGGGTCACTGGATTCCAGACTGTCATGTCTGAATTCTCAGAGTTGAGGTCCTTGGAGAATGGTGTTCACAGAATAAAGACCTTCAGTCAAGGTCAAGGAGAAGGGCCAAGGAGGATGAGCCCTGGGGGGAGCCCTTGATGTCCTGCTGAGGGGAGGACCCTAGACAGGGAGGGAGGGAGGATCTTGGACCCTGAGAGTTTGAGCCTGATGGACTGAGGTCACCAGCCCAAAGACCAAGGTTCTTAAGACTATATACCCCCTTGGACCCAAGCCCCTCACTCTGTGGTCCCCAGAATTCTAAGGGCCCTGGGAGGCAGCCTTGAGACCAGAGAGGCTCAGAAGGAAAGGCAGCTTGGAGCCCTGAAAAGCTGCTAGTCTTTTAAATTGGGTCCTCATGAGGGCAGCTGCCAGCCCAGAGAAGTTCAAGGAAGCTGATGAGAGATTTCAGCTCCGGGACCTGCTCCTCTGGGGAACTGAGAATCAGAACCAGCAGCCAGGCAGCCCGCGGTGCCTGGAGGGAAGTCCTCTGCATACTCCCTGGGTTAATAGACTCTTTTGTAGATAAACTCGAAGACACAAGCTACAGATCACTTGAGGAAACGGGAGGGAGAGGCTGAGAGGCTGCACCTGGGAAACGGGCGTCTGGAGAGAACGGCCCATACAGAGCAGAGACCAAGGTACTGGGGTGCTCAAGGGAGACGCATGGATGACACCCTGTCCCTTGCCTCGGAGGCCACAAGACCAGCCTGGTGCCTCCCCCACTGAGATGCTCAACTCCTGGTGGCCCCCAAAGCCAAGCATGCCCGGTGTAAGGCTCTCAGCAGCTGAGACCCACCCCTGGGCTCTGAAGCAGGCACTGAGGCGTCTGGCCTAGGGGGGCTTGGACGCGGCCTCACCTGGCTGAAGCCGGGCTCGTACTCTACCCGGCCCTTGCTGTCCACGTGCAGGATGGGGGCTGTGATGGCGGCTTGCAGGTTGAGGCCCAGCCACAGCTTCTGGATGATGGCCTGGGGGAGAGAGGAGGACGCAGGGCAGGAGGGAGGGAGCGTGGGGCACTAGCCACCCTCCCCAGCCCCTCCCTGCCCCGGGACAGCAGGGCTGCCCAGCGGGGGCACGCTCCTGCCAGGAGCCCCAGGGCTCACCTGGGCTACAGCGGAGACAATGAGCTCCCCGCCAGCCCCGCCGATCACCAGCTTCGACCCCTGGGCTGCGTTGACCAAGATGGACGGGGCCATGGATGATGGGGGCCGCTCGCCTGGAACTGGAGGCCAGACAGGTGTCACCCGCAGCCTCGCTCTGAGCCGCCAGTCCCCTCCTGGGCTGCCCCTCCGTCTCCGTCCATGCACCACTGCATGGCCACAGCTGGGCGAGGTGAGGTGGGTACAGGGGCCGCCCACCTCCCCTCCCAACCCTGGGACCCGGCTCACCGGGCGGCGGGGGGACTCTGGAGCCCCACGGGCGCCTCCAGCACAGGTCCAGGAGCTCGTTGTTGAGGAGGACGCCCGTGCGCGGTGAGTACACCATGGCGCCAAAGCTGCGGACGGGATGTGAGCTGGGCTCCCACCTCTCGCCCCCCAGCTCTCCAGGAGCCCCTCATTTTAGCACCACCTCCAGCATGCTGGAGGTGCTGTCCTGTCCCTGGCCCCACCCCCAGAGATCCACCCTGCCCCCTCCAGGTCATCCTCCCAGGCAAGACCCTTCCCTATCTAGGCTCAGGGCCACCCTCTCAGCAGCCTTTTCAGCCAGAGATGTCAGGGTAGGACCTCTTTTGACAGGAAGAAGGGGAGGGAACAGCAAGGAAGTGTTGCCCCCCGGACACAGCAAGGGGAGGCGGGGGCTCGGGTCTAGGGAGAGAAGGCACGGGGCCTGCCGGCCTGCCCCCGGGCCCCACGCACGGTGTGTTGATGGTGCTGGTGGCGGACACGGCACTACCATCCTCTCCCAACACAGACACATGGGCCGTGCCCATCCTGTGGCTCCAGGACCCAGCCAGGCTGTAGTGGCTGAGCTGGTGGTCACCCCGGGCGTCGATCTGTTGGCGGATGTGCTGGGCCAGGGCCTCCCCCAGCAGGTCCTGGGAGGCGTTCTGGGGCAGGCAGACAGGTGACAGGGTCAGGGAGGGGCCAGGTGGGGCCCACAGAGCAGAGGGTCCCTGAGATGCAGTGCCACCACTGCCTCCCATACCTGCCACTCCAGGCTCCCTGCAGTCCCCAGGGGGTGCACCCTCCCTGCTCTGGGCCATCCTGTTCTAGAAACAACCTTGTACACATCCCTCCAGCCTCACCCAGCCAGGCTCTCAGGGTCTGCTGATGGAGTGGCCCACTGGCCTGCTCATCTGGGGGAGGGGAGGGGCTTCTCCACCAGCCCAGGGCAACTCACCTGGACTTTTGGGTGGCTTCGAGGGTCCCACAGCCGCCACGTCTGCCCCATAGCAAACTTGAGCGTCTCTACAAGATGGTGGTATAAGTTCACGGTCCCCTCGGGCTTGGCCACCGACTCGGCGGAAAAGTTGAACCCTGGGGAGGGGGTGGGCGCGGGGGGGGGTCATCTTGTGCGGTGGCAGGCTTGTCCATGTCCTAATCCCCAGAGTCTGTGAATATTCCCTTACATGGGAAAAGAGTGAATATTACCTTTTATAGTAAAATGTGGGATTAAGTTAGGGGTCTTGAGAGGAGCAGGCTATCCTGGCTTATCAGGGTGGACGGTAAATGTAATCACACACATCCTCATAACACAGACAAACAAGGAAGAGAGGGCTGTGAGAGCACGGAGGCCAGGATTGGACGGATGCAGCCACAAGCCCAGGGAAGCCGGCTGCTGCCAGAAGCTGGAAGAGGCAAAGAACAGATTCTCCCCTGGAGCCCCTGGGAAGGAATGGGGCCCAGTGGACACCTTGACCTTGAACTTCTGGCCTCCAGAACTATGAGAGGATAAATTTCTGTTGTTTAAGCCACCAGGTTTTGGTTATTTGCTTGTGATCATTTGTTTTGGCGGCCACAGGGAATGAATACAGTCCATACCGGCAGCCCCAGCCCCAGACACTGCCAGGACCACCCCCCGCCACCACCCTGCAGGCTGCAATGGGCCAGGCCTCAGCCCCGAAAGCACACACTGGACAGGCAGCTCACCACCTGCAGAGCCACCTGCTCCTTGCCCTGGGCCAGTGACCTGGGGGGTCTCAGTGGGTAGAGGACTCCAGACCCTTCAGCAGAGCCTCCTGCATGGACCACGCCAGAGGCTGGCTCCAGAACACACCGTCTTGGCCTGTTTCCCAGCCCTGTCTTCAGCATCTGAGGAGGGAGCTGAGCTGGAGGAGGTGAGGGCTGTCCAGAGCCTGGGGCCTCACCTTTGAGCACATTGAGGATGAAGCTGAGAATCGCGCCCCCTGCAGGTGGTGGCGGTGAGTACAGGGTGTAGTCCCCAAGGGGCACTGCCAGGGCATCCACCACCTCTGGCTGGAATGACACTAAGTCCTGCAAGGTCAGCCGGCTGCCTGGGGTGGGACGGAGAGGGCTCCGTGTAAGATGGGAAACCGAGGCGGGGACTATCACCTGTGACCCTGGGTCACATGGCAGGGCTCCCATCGTCCCCAGAGGGCTGGTGGGGGGCATGTGGACAGTGGTCAGGCTTTGGGGGGCGTTGGTGGACAGAGACCAGAAGTGGGCAGGTCATGGGGGAGGTGGAGGAGGCCACCGAGAGCTCCCCTCCCTTGGCCCTAATCCTCAGGGCCCCACTTCTTCGGGATTTTGACCACAGGGACCCTGAGGCTAGCAGTAGGCAGGACTGGACACATGGCCTCTCCAAGCCTGGGGAGCAGCTGGCCTCCCTTGGAGCCTGGGAAGGCTCTGCCCTCAACCCCGGAGCTCAGACCCCTCCTTCTCTGGCGGGGCGGGGGGACCTCAGCGCCCTGACCTTCCTTGGCAACGTCCTCCAGCAGCAGCTGGCCCAGCTTCCCTGTGTAGAGGGCCTCTGCGCCTTCCGCAGCCACGGCCTCCAGGGTGGCGGCCAGCGCGGGCCACGGGAGAGGGTCCTGAGGCCTCAGGGGTTCTGTCCCGTTGAAGAAGAGCTGCCTGGGGGGTGGGGGCAGCTCAGGGCAGGGCCAGCTCTAGGAGGGCAGCCACACTCCTGCAGGAACCCTACGGGGAGGTGGTCCTGGTCCAGGATCCTGAGGGGCAGGGGTGGATGGGGGCTGATTCTAGGAGTGGGTGGGGCTGGTGCCTCTCACCTCGTTCATCACCCAGGCCCCCCGCCAGGCCTGTGCCCCCTGCTTCTGGAGGACCTGGTCGGGGGCTGGCAGGGTGGGCAAGTGGGGCGGCCAAATCCTGCCGGCTGGTCCAGAGAGTCAGAGGGAGGGCCAGAGGGCGGTGGCCAAACCCAAATCCACACTGATCACCTGGGCATAAACTCCCTCAAGCCTGAGCCCCTCCGATTCCATCCTGCCACGCAGAGCCCAGAGGTCTGAGGACTGAGACAGTGAAGAACGGGCCGTCCAAGGCCCCTGACTGGAGGAGGGATCCTGGGCCCCCCAGCGGTGCTCACCTCAGGGAGGATGCATACAGGGAAGGCCGCAGGAGGCTGTTGCTCAGGAACTGGCCCAGGACGGGGGGCACGCGGAAGCCCTCTTGAAGCAGAGCGATGGTGGGCTGGAACAGCTGTGCCCAGGGCAGGCGGCCGTGGCGGCGGTGGGCCTCGGCATATCCGCGAAGCTCCCCGGGCACCCCAATCCACTGGGAGCCTGCACGGAGCAGGGTGTCACGCCCCAGCCCCTGTGCCACCCCGACCCTGCCCTCTGGCCCCCAAGGGCTCTTGTCACCCTCACACGTGGTCCACCTCCCCCCAACCCCCCTCGCCTAGCCCCTCAGCAACAGCAGCCCAGAGTGAGCTTCCTGGAGCCCACATTGTACCATGTCCCTCCCCACTCAAACCCCCGTGGCCCCTCACTGCCCCTCTGTACATAGTCCACAGCTAGGCCTGTGATGCTCAGCACAAAACTGGCCCCAGGACCCCCAGACCCCACACCACCAACCCACCTCCACTGAACCCTCCAGACCTTTAGCCAGGCTGGTCCTTCTGCTAGGACTACCCCTCCCAACTCAGAGAGCCCTACCCCGGGAGAACGCCCCCATCCCCAGCTGCTCCCCCAGTGCCGGGGTGTCTTGGCCTGTCCACGAGGAGCACTGGCCCTTCATGGGGGTTCTGGCCAGCCCAGTGGCCTGGTTGGGTGGGAGCAGTTGGCCCCTCCAGGCTCTCACCTGTGCCCAGAGGCTGAGCCTGCTCGCACTGGTCCAGCAGAGCCGGGTCATGGCTGTCAGGCACCGTCTCCCTGGCATTGATGACCTCCACCTGCCCTGGAGGTGTGCGGGGTGTGCGGGGGTCAGGGGCACTCCCTGTGTGCCATGGTCCCCTTCAGATGGTCCTGGCCCTGCTCTGGGCCTCCGTTTCTCTCTGTACCATGAGCTGGCCCCTGTGCTAATATTTGTGTTGCAGGCTTTGCAGGGATGGGGGGTGCACACCAAGAGGACCCAGGAAGGGGCCTGGGTGGACTGGGCAGGTCAGCCGTACACTTGGGATGTCTCCAGGACCCACACTGTGAGCACCTGTGGACAAGGCCACCCTCCCCATGGGGGTCCCGTGTGGACTCACCTGTGGTCGCATTGTAGATGGTGAAGATGACCCCTCCACCCAGGCCCATGCTCTGGGGGTGGACCACCCCAGTGCAGACCAGTGTCGCAATGGTGGCGTCCACAGGTGAGCCACGCTGCTGGAGGATGGCTCTGGGGGACATGGCACAGAGTGAGCAACCTGGCTCCCTTGCCCTGGCCTCCCCATCTGGGCTTGCTCTGCTAGCATCTAAAAATATAGTTACCATATGATCCAGCAATCTCACTCCTGGGCATATATCTGGAGGAAACTTTAATTCAAAAAGATAATGCACTCCAATGTTCACAGCAGTGCTATTTACAATAGCCAAGACATGGAAACAACCTAAATGTCCATTGACAGATGACTGGATAAAGAAGTTGTGGTATATTTACACAATGGAATACTACTCAGCCATAAAAAATAAAAAATGATGCCATCTGTAGCAACATGGATGGATCTGGAGAATGTCATTCTAAGTGAAGTAAGCCAGAAAGATAAAGAAAAAAACCACATGGTATTTATACATAGAATCTAAAAAAAAAAGACAAATGAACTTATTTACAAAACAGAAGCAGACTCACAGACATAGAAAATTTATGGTTATCGGGGGGAAGGAGGTGGGAAGGGAAAAATTGGGAGTTCGAGATTTGCAGATACTAATATGTATATAAAACAGATAAACAAGTTTATACTGTATAGCACAGGTAACCACATTCAATATCTTGTAGTAACCTATGGTGAAGAAGAATATGAGAACAAATGTATGTATGTTCCTATGTCACTGAAGCATTGTGCTGTGCACCAGAAATTGACACAACATTGTAACTGACTGTACTTCAATAAAAATAGAAAGAAAGAAAGAAAGAAAGAAAGAAAGAAAGAAAGAAAGAAAGAAAGAAAGAAAGAAAGAAAGAAGAAAAGAAACAAAGAAAGAAAAAAGAAGGAAGGAAGGGGAAGGGAAGGGAAGGAAAGGAAAAGAAAAAAGAAAGAAGGAAAGGGAGGGGGAGAGATTGGGTCAACTAGGAAAAAATCTGAATTGGACTAGGTGTACGATTGTATAAAGGTTAAATTTCTTGTGTGTGATAATGGTATTAAGGTTGTACAGAAGAATACTCTTATTCTTAGTAAATACATGTATTAAGTATTTAGGGAAAAAGTGTCATGATAATTGCAACTTACTTTCCAAAAATGCAGAACGATAGATATATGGGGGTGGGGGGAGAGAATGTGGCCAAATATAAACAATTATTGAATCTAATTGAAGAGTATATGGGTACTCTTTCCATGGTTCTGTGGGTGCAAAACTTTTTCAAAATAAAAATATAAATATTTATGGGAACAACAAAAACTTGTGGAATGCAGCCAAGTAACACTTTGAGGGAAAATTATAGCTTGAAATGCATATATTAGAAGAGAGTTTAAAGATCAATCATCTATGTACCCACCTTATAATCTGTGCTTCCCAAGACGTATCTCAAGAGGAATTTTTTTTTAAAGCAACATAAACTCAATGGAAGTAGAATCAAGATAAAGGAGAAACTAGTGAAAGAGGAAATAAATATATAATAATTGTGTCATTATACAAAATCAACAAAGCCAAAAGGTGGTTCTTCAAAAAGAGAATAAAACTGATAAAAAAAAAAACCCTTATCAAGATCAAGAACAGTAAAACTCTAGTTATCAATATCAAGCATGGAAACGAGGATGCATTACAGACCCTACAGACATGAAAAAGATAAAAAACTGTATGCCAGTACACATGATGACGTGCATAAACTGGACACACTCCTTGGAAAGAACTTACTAAAACTCACCCAACAAGAAATAAAAATTGATAGTCTTATATTTATTAAAGAAACAGAATCTGTTACTTAAAACCTCCACATATACACAAAAAACTCAGGCTCAGAAGACTAACCAGTAAACACTTCCAAACATTTTAGGAGCAACACAAATTTTAAGAACAAGAAACAACAACAGCAAAACAAAGCCTACTCTTGCAAACCATGGAAAAGGAGAAAACATTGCCCAGCTTTTTTTGTTGTTGTTGTTTAATTCCAAGCTCTTTCTATGAGGCCAGTATAACCTTGATACCAACCTGTGACACGGACATGGTAAGAAAGGGAAATTACAGACCAGTAGCTATCACGAACATAAAGGGAAAAATCCTAAGCAAGTGGGGAGGGTACAGCTCAGCAGCAGAGCATGTGCTTAGCATGCACAAGGTCCTGGGTTCAATCCCCAGTGCCTCCATAAATAAATAGATACATAAACTTAAATAAACTTACATTTTTTTCAAAATCTAAAAAAAATCCTAAGCAAAACATTAGCAAATCAAACCTAATAATAAATAAAACTGATATTAAGTCATGAACAAGCTGGGTTTGTCCCAGGAATGCAAGGGTGGTTTAATGTCCATTGTACTTTTTAAAAGGGAGAAAAATGACTTGATTGTCTTGATAATGCAGCAAATGCATTTGATATGCACCTGATAGAAAGGTGGGCAAAAGATTTTAACAGAAACTTTATAGAGGAGGATATGCAGAATGACCAATAATCACTTCCAACCCCTCAGCACCAGGTATGGATTTATTGTCTGTCTCCCCCACCACGAGGACAAGAGCCTCGACCACCTGGTCACCGCCGTGAACCCCAGGACAATGGCAGGCAGGTGGAGGGGCGGCTGGTAGAGAAGCATCACACACCTTCACACATCCACAATGCCCACCACCATGCGCCACAAACATGCTCAGGGCCACCCAGGCTGGGCTTCCTCCTCACCAGCCAGGTGACACCAGGCACATGACTTGACCTCCCTGAGCCTGGGTCTCCTCAGCTGTGAACGGGGGTAGTTCTGGCCAGCGGATGCCTGTCCCCAAGGAGCCAGGAAGCTGCTGTCACCATCACTGCTGTCACACGCACACTCACACACACACACACACACACACACACACACGTGCGTGTGCACAGTGCCCAGGTAAGCAGGCTGTTCCCTCCTGAGCCCCAGCAGGAAGGAAATGCAGTAATTTCCTGGTGAGTTGGCCAAGAGTCCAGAGAGCCACTGGGGTCACAGGGGCTGGGAGGGAGGAAGGAACCACACCCTCGTGCTCTCGGAGCCTTCCCCACAGCCGGGTCCCCTGTTTAGAGTCCGACCACGTCCAGTCCAAGCCACTGTAACAGTGAGTGGTCAGAGTGGCTGCCATCAAGGGACACCTCCTCTGGGCCAGGTGAGCTCTGAGCCTCATCACCTGCACGTCCACAAGGGAGGTGCGGACACCAGCCCCATTTCACAGATGGGGAAACCGAGGCTCACTGGGCACAGTGATTTGTCCAGAGTCCCTGCTCTCCTCTGCACCGAAGGCATGACCCACAGACCCCTGGACAGTCTGGAGCGGCTGACAAGACCCAGTCCTTGGGGGCCAACCCCTCCCCACCAACACAGCCCAGTGCCAGCCCACACCCCAGTGCCCCACAGGACAAGCGCTCTGGGCCCTTGCCAGGCTCCTCTACAACTACTCATGTGACCAAGGATGCTCTGGCCTTTAGGATTTGACCCCAGGGGCACTGGGGTTCTGGGGACCCTGGGAGGGCTTCACCCTCCCGCATCCCAGGTGAGTCTCCCTCCCTGCAGGGACAGCAGAGAATGACAACTCCAGCTGGGCCTGCTTGCACTGTGACACCAGGCAGGTGCCTCCTGGGAAGGAACAATGAATCCTCTCCTGAGGATCCTGTGTGGCATTTCTGAGCGGTCACAGCAGACAGACGTCACAAAGCCTATAAGCCACCATGAACCCTGAAGGTCACACAGGTTACCTAGATGACAAGCACTCACTCGGAGCCTCAGAACACCCAGTCTGCACACACGCCTAATACGCTGGGCCAATCACGCCGGAAGGTGGCGGGCCAGAGAAGGACCCTCATTGTCACCACGTGTTTCCTGTTTGTCCACTAGGCATGGTGCAGGGTCCTCACTCAGGTAACTGAGGAGCCCTCCCGCCAGGCTCTGCGGCAGCAGAAGGCCCAGCCCCACCAAGAGCGCCCAGTGCTAATGAGGGGGAGGAGGCTGGTCTGGGAGGCCCTGCTGGTGAGGGCAGATGGGGGTTGAGGGGGCGGAAGGAGAGGAGGCTGTGAGCGGGTGGCCCCCATCAGACCCCACAGCAGCATGGCCGGGGGCCCTCGGGGGTGTGATCTCAGCTGGGAAGCCCTCAGCCCAGCCGGGGTGAGTGACCCTGTTCCACAGCAGCTGGGGCCGCTCCAGGCTACCCCCTGCTGCTGGCTTCTTAAAAACACAGACAGGAAGTGGAGTGCTGTTTGGCGGGACACAGAACACAGGGAGAAAACACATCCGCCCTCCTCACCAGCGGGAGTTGCAGGGGGTGCCCCGGAGCAGACACCTCAATTCTGCGCCCTCCTGCGCACAGCAGGGCATGCCTCTGAGACCCCCCAAGCAAAGACCTGGCGAGACACAGCGGGCCCACACCCACCTCGGACATACGTGGCAGCAGCCCCCCACCCCTGGGGGCCGCCTCCCCTCCCAGTGGTCCCTGCGGCTGAAACCCTGACTTGTTTGCATCTTTGCAAATATAGGTTCAGGTGGGCACGGGGCCTGCGCAGTTCTCCAGAGCATGGGAGGGGCTCCTGTCCCCCGGGAGCCCCCTCGGGAGACCAAGCTGCCTGCCCACCCTCCCCCCGCCCACATGTCCCTGAGCTGCCACTCTCAGCCACTGTTACCCTAGAGGGAGTCCTGGGGGGAGGGGACAGGGAGCCTTGAGTAGAGCCCAGAGGATCAGACCAGGAGCAGGCAGAGAGGGGGCAGTGGGAGAGGCAGGGCAGATGAAGTAGGAAGGAATGAATCAAGCAGAGTGAGGCCATGAGGAAGAGGAGTGAGCCCAGGACGTAGGGGGCACGGACGCCATCTGTCCAGTGTACCCTGGGTGGGACTCGGCCACACACCCCTTGCCCCGGGACAGTCCCCTTCGGTTTACAAAGCACTTCTGATCCTGACAAGGGCCCTTGAGGCAGCTATTCCAGGAAGGAGACTTGGCTGGCAGGGAAGGGACGCTAGCCAGGGCTCCCACAGGCCCAGACTGGGGCAGGGCCAAGAGGGGCATCCTGCCACGTCCCGCCACAGTGGGCAGTGGAAGCCTACCTTGGGCTGGGCTTCCTGGAAGAGGGTCGGGAAATGCCAGCTGGGGCCCCTCTCCACAGCCCCCCTCACTCAGCCCACCAAACATCAAAATCACTCCACTCACCTCTGGCCTGACTCCAGACCCCGCTACCCCTGGGGACATGGTATCATCAGGGGCAGGTCTCCCAGATCCCGAGCCAGGAGCAGAGACTGGCCCCGGGCAGCACTGTGCGCCAGCCAGTACTCACATTCTGAGCCCCTGAAGCCCCTTACCCATGCCCCTGGGGGAAGACCCCAGCCTGGGAAAACTGTCATGGCCTCTTCGAAGTGGTCAACCTGGGCCAGACCAGTGACACCATAGCAGTGCCCTCTCTGGGCCTCCTGCGCCCTGGAGTAGGACTGACTCACAGACCACCTCTGCTCTGCCCACGCTGTCGTTACCCTCAAACCTCCATCAGTCACATGCTACCTAGTTTGTGCAAGGGTTGTGTCCTGGGGCTGCTTCCTTGCTGGAGCCCAATCCACGTGGCCCCCATATGCCAGCAGGCATGCACATGCGCTTCTCTACACTCTTCACCACTGGTCACAAAGTGTCCGGGAGGGGCCAGCGCCAAGGGCCACCCAGCTCCCACCCACCTCTTACTCACCGTCCAATGTCCGAGCAGATCTTGGAGTCGGCAGCGACTGCAGCGTGGGCAAAGGCCTGGGGGCTACAGTGACGCTGAGAGAGGAGCACAGTGGACAAGATGATGGCCAGCCCCAGCCCCAGCCCCAGCAGGACCAGGCTGATCGTGGCCCCATGGCCCCCTGCCATGGCTCTGCAGCCCGGAGGGAGAGGGGAAGGAAGAAGGCAGACAGATGCTCAGAGAGATGGGTGGATGAGTGGCCAAGAAGGTGTGCAGATGGACTCACAGATGATTGAACAGATGGACAGACGAGGTCAGAGACAGGCTGGGCAGAGGCTAGTAAGAGAAGGAAGGTCAGAGAGACAGTTGAACAGAGTCGAGGTTTCAGGACAGACAGACAGGTTTCCAGACGCACAGCAGGCAGCCAGGTAGACAGGCGGGTGCGTGGCTGGAGGGCTTGCGGTGGGGCTGCTGCTTCCTGGAGCATCCACCGCAGAGGCAGAGCTGGCCGAAGGCCGGGCTTCCAGTTCTCCGCTTCTGGTCTGGCCCTGGCAGGAGGCCAGGCAGCAGGGCTTTTATGGGGAGTTTTTCCTTCCAGAGAAGGGTAACTGGCTACTATTAACTCCCTCGCTGCCACTCCCACCACCCACACCATAAACCTTGGAACAAATGCCCCCCACCCCACCCCACCATGGCCAGCGCCCTTCCAGTGCCCAGGGCTGTCCCCTGGGCACCTGCTGTCCCAGGGCAGGGGCTGGGATGCAGAACTCCCAGGGCATCCCGCGTCCCAGCATAGCCAGGACAGCACAGTAGAGGCCTATGCAGAACCCCCTGCCCCTAATTGGGCTTAGCGGGATAGGGGGCCAGGGTGGAACCCCCAACTCTGTTCTCTTCACTAGCCCCACCCAGCAGCAGCTCACCTCAGCATCCCCAGAGCCAGAGGACACTGCGGGCAGCCAGGGCACAGAAGTGGGGCTGAATGGGGCCAGAGGCAGAGGGAAGGGAAAAACAAGGCAATGTCACTCAGGACTCGGGTTCAAGTCCCGGCTCAGCCAAAGCCCGGCCTGGGGGTGGCTGGTGCAGGGCAGGGGGCCAGGAAGGCGCTCAACTTCCCTGTGTGCTCAGGGGGCAGGCAACTGGAGCTCCAGACACCCAGGATGACAAGACCACTGTGTGGGGAATATGGACAGAGCCTGTGACCAGCCCCTCACACCCAGTGCCCATCAGACTGTCCAATCCTAGGGCCTGCTGTCCTGGAAAGGCCACTGGGGACCTCGGGGAAATGGGGGTCCCTTCCACCTGCATTTCTGCCCATCCCTGCTGCATGTCTGCCTCCCTCTTCCTGTGCTGACGGTTCCTTCTCTCCTGGCGACACTGGCCTGTGCTCTGCCCTGCCTGGGCCTCAGGGTGCCCAGCTGGGAGGTGGCTAGGGGGAGTGAGGGCCCACTGAAGTGACCCCTCGACCAGACTAGCAGGGCACAGGGTGCAGGGGCTGTGGGCTGGAGTCCCACCCACACAGTCCCCCATAGCCCCCATTCTCCCAGCTTCCTTTCCAGCTGAGCGTTGCCCTCCCAGGTCTCTAGCCCCCTTGTACAATGGAGAAACTGAGGCAGAGAGGGACTGTGCCCACACAGCCACACAGTCTGCCAGGTCCCAAGTCTGAAGCCACTGCCAGCCTAAGCTGGAGAGGCTACTGGGGGAAGAGGCTGCACACCACTTGTGCCTGGGGCCCAGGGAGTTCCAGGCCAGCCCCCACCTCCATCAGCAAGGCCTGCCCCTCAGGCCGCAGTCTTCTCTCATGAAAATGGGCCATGGCCTCTCTGGGGCTAAAATGAGGGCTGAGGAGAGACCTGCCCATCCCACCAGCCCAGCCTCCATCCTGCCCCCAGGGACCTCAGAGACACCACACTCCAGGGCTCAGGGCTCAGGGCTCAGACCTGGGTCAAGGGGTCTCTGCGGGCCAACACTGTTTTCCTGTGGACATTTTGGAAGCACCAGGATTTTTTACCTCATGAAGGAGGGCTCAGACCTGGCATCCCCTGGCCCCTGGGCCCCTGCCCTCAGGGGGCCCCAAGGATGCTCACTGGGCAGGGGGTTATCTGGCTACGATCCCCCTCTCCCCCGCCCACCTCCACCAGGCTTTCCCAGAGCCTCACTTCTGGCCTTAAACTGTGCGTAAAGAATGAGTTAGGAGGCCCGAGGGAGGGCGGGAGGGGCTGGCCCTGGTGAGGGAGGTGGGAGGCTGAGTCTCACTATGTCCCCCCAGACCTGCCCCCTCCCCAGGGCATGGATCCAAGCCCTGACCCTCAGGGATCTGGGGACCTCCTCCAGTTGACTAATCCCTGAGAACCGGGCCTCCCTTCAGAGCTGAGCTCAGCTTGGGTTTCACTCTGGGTTTCTGCTTGGAAAGCCCCCTGGGCCTGCCTCTGACCAACACATTTTTCTCCAGCCTCTTGCCCAATCCCACCCACCAGACCTCGGCTTCACCTCTGGGTGACCTGGGCAGGGTGAGGCCAGATGCCCACCAGGCTGAGGAGGTACCGGGCTTCCCAGCATCTATGGAGGAAACGCTGGGGCCATGCGCCTCCCAGCGGCTGACACTGGGAAGTGCTGCTGCCCAGCGCAGCAAAGAGGTGGCCTGGCCCTTGTCCTGGGGCTCAAGGTGAGGAAGGACAGTGCTTGGCATGGCCCGTCCTGGGCCCCCAGCCCCCACCACACCCACCTGGCGGAGGTTGTTGGCTCCAGCACCCAAGGTGGAATCAAATCCCCTCTCTCCCTCCTTCCCTGCCAAGTGCCCCACTTTACACAGGATGCTGAGGCCCAGGGAATCGGGAGCCGGCCAGCAAGACTGCCCAGAGCCTGGCGCTGCAGCCCCGTTTATTGCACTGCTTTGCCGCTCACAGGGGAAGCACGTCCCCCGAAGTCCCCCTCCCAGTCCGGGTGGGATCTCATCCCTGGGCAATCTACCAGCCCGCCTTGCCTGCCTGAGCACTTGCTCAGTAGCCTGCAGGCTCCCCGCCTTTCCTGGAGTCTGAGGCAGCTGCCCAGCCATCTGGTGTGCGGACAATGGCCTGGACCACGGCAATGAAGGTGGAAGTGACCTGGGTGTGGTGGTGCCGGGTCTTCAGGGCTGCAGCCACTGCCTGGGGACAGGAAGGGACACGGGACCTCAGCCAGGCCCAAGACACCATCCGAACCACACGTGTGCGGTCATGGGCTTCACAGACCCAGATGGTGCCACTTCCAGCCACGTGGCCAGGAAGAGCAAGCTGGGGGCAGCTGGGCCTCCTGTGTCTCATAGGAGCAGGTGGTCTGGTTCTCATGGCCCGGGGGCTCAAGATGGCCCAGACAGTGGATGTGAAGGTCACCTGCTACAGGCAGAGGTCACCATTGTCCCCTCCATGATGACTCAGGAGACCCAGGCCTCCATTCTAGGATACTGGGTGGCCCTCCTGCGACTCGGTCCCCCACCCCCACCCCACCTGGTCCACGTCTTTCTCCAGCGTCGTGGTGTTGGGTAAAAGTTGGTTGTGCAGCCGGGGCTCCTCCACCGCCCGCTTCACGTCATAGCCGAACCACAGGCTGTAGATGATGGCCTGGGGGTGTGGGGATGTGTCAGCGTGGCCCAAGGGCAAGGGATCGGGGGACAGGGGTGGCACGTACCAGTGCAGTGGACGTGGTGATCTGCGTGCCCCCAGAGGCACCCACCACCATTCGGACCCGGCTGTCCTGACCCACAATGATGGCTGGGCACATGGACGAGAGTGGCTGTTTCCCTGCCGGCAGGAGGGAGGGAGGGAGGGGACAGAGGTGCTGGTCAGCCACCCGCTGGAACACCAGCCCCCTCCTCGCCCAAGACCCCCCACCACACCTGGCATGATGAAGTTGGCGGGTGAGGGCGGCACTCCAAACTGGTTGATGATGTTAGGGGAGCTGAAGTCGTCCATCTCATCGTTGAAGAGGATCCCACTGATCCGTGACCGCACCTTGGAACCAAAGCTGCCGACCGGCTAGGTGAGACCGCTGTGCCTGGCCCCGCCCGCCTCGTCCCTCCTGTCCCCACGCGGCAGCCCCTGGCCCACCCAGGCCGCCCAGCAGCCCTACTAGAGGTTGATGGTGCTGGTGGCCGACACGGCGCTGCCATCCTCCGAGACCACGGACAGGTGGGCGGTGCCCCCGTCGTCCGGTGTGTAGAACTCAGGCTCGTAGTAGGAGGTTGGGTGAGTGGTGTTGTCGGAGATCCGGGCCCGGAGCTGGGCGGCAAAGAACTCGGAGCTCATGTTGCGGACCACCTGCCGAGACCCCAGAGCCGGCCTGAGGAGGTGGGGGAGGTGGGGAGGGGGTACAGGCTTGTGCGAGCAGCTCTCAGGAAGCCCCCGACCCTGGCTCTGACCACAACCCTCCTGCACCCTAAGCGTCACGTGGCCCATCTGACCCCCTCTCTCCAGCCTCTGTCTCTGCTGCAGTCCAGCAGCTCTCAGTGTCTGTCCGTCCTCTGAGCCCCTACTCTCACCACATTCTTCATGCATGCATTCATTCATTCATGGAGCTTGTAACTTCATGCCTAGAACTGGGGGATGAGCAGGGAACAGATAGGCAGGTCTCCACCCTCACAGCAGAAAGACAAAGGCAGGCAGGGATGTGATGGAAAGAACAAGCCAGGTGAGAGGGGTGGAGAGGGACGGGATGGGGTAGAGTGGTCAGGGAGGGCTTCTCGGAGGAGGTGACATCTGAAAAGCCACCTCAAATGAGGCCTGAATGGTAATGCAAAGGCTCTGAGGCAGGCCTGTGAGTGACAGGCAGACAGTGAATGGGGTTATGGAGAGAGGAGGTTGAAGATGCAGGCAGGGGCTGATCCCTTAGGTCTTTACAGGCCCCATAAGGACTTTGGCGTTTGCTCTAGGCCACCTGGGCTTGGGGCAGAGGAGTGAACAGCTGATAGGTGTTTTCACAGATCCCTCTGGCAGCAGTGGAGGGTGGAACCCAAGTTGTGGGGGCTACGGACATCAACCAGGTGAGAGATGATGTCTCAGCAGGTGGTAGAGAGGAATGCCCCAAAGTTTTCGGTCCAGAGTGGCCCTGACTGGAAAGAGGGACACTACAGGAGGGGCAGCTGTGGGGACAGCTGGGAGCTTGATTCGGGACACCTGCTCGTTGGACCCTGGAAAGCCTGTCTCAGGTGGGTGACGGGCCACACCTGATGTGTGAGTTCACGGGCAAGGCTGGACTGAGGCATAAGCATGGGCTCGTCAGCTTGAAGCCGCAGGCCCGGACGGGCAGACAAAGAAGAGATGACAGACAGAGATGGGAGAAGATGCAGGAGCCAGTGAGGAAAGTTCCTGGAGGCCAAGCAGAAGAAATGCCTCGGGAGGCTTCCAGCAACACCCGTGGATAAAGTGACTAACCCAAGGGGAAAACTTTCAGCCTGAACCTACTTCCAAGGATTCAGAAAGTCGAATCCAGGGAGTGAGACATCCTGCAAGACAACTGCCCCGGGTCTTAAAATCAACAAGACAGCCAAGAGGGTCCACAGAGGGCAAGAGCCTGGAGAGACAGAACCGCTGGTGCCGGTGGGAGCCTGACGGGCCCTGAACCCGCAAACATGGACAGGAGCCTCGGGGAAAGTCCGACCCAGGCGTCCAATAGGTCATGTGTTGTGTACAAGTCCTTGCTCTCGGGAGATGCAACTGAAAGTGGGATCTCTGTGACACATTGTCCACTGACTCAGGAGGAAACGGGTTTATCAAGGGAGAGATGGCTGAGACAGGCAGAGAGGAAGGAATGAGCCAAAATGTCTACAACTTCGCAAAACAGAAAGTTGAGGAGGAGCTGGTGAACTGGGTGAGATGCTGCTGGGAGTGGCCCAAAGGGGACGCTGGGGCTGGACTCGCAGGGTGGAGTCAGGAGGGCGGGCAGGATAGGAGGGGCTCCAGAGAGGATGGAGTTGGCCAAGTTTGCTCCAAGGAGGGTAGAGGGACAGGCAGCAGCTGGAGTGTTCTGGAACCCCAAGAGAACGTCTCTCTTGGGATGACCCACAAGAAAGGGCAGACTGGGAACCCAAGAGACAGCGCAGCCTTCCAGGAAGGGTGTGCTGAGTCAGCAAGTGGACGAGCAGGAGGCCGACCTCAGCCGGGAGGGAGGGCAGAGGGGACCACGATGCAGGCTTCCCCCACCCTCCCTAGGGACACCAGGTCACTGGGGGGGGGCGGGGGTGCAAAATCGTCCCTGGGAAAGAAAAGAGACCCAGGAGGGCAGCTGTGGGAGGTCACAGGTCAGTGTGAGGGGTTCTGCAGGTCCACCTTGGAATGAGGGGCCGCAAGTAGGCAATGACATAATGGGGATGAAGCCGGGGCACCCGGCAGGTGAGTAGTGGGGCAGTGCAGGGCCTGGATCTAGAAAGTTAGCTCCTGGGTGTGACCAGGGAGCAGGTGGCCAGGGTCTCTGCCCACTTGAAACGCTGGTCCTCCATGTCAAATCCATCCTTATCACTTCCCCTGAGGGCTAGGACACCCCTGTGGGTTCCTCACGGTCAGCACTGACCACTCCAGAACCTTTCAGGCTGATGGCAAAGCACGTGCAAAGGTCCTGAGGTTGGAGTGTGAAGGAGGTGGGCAGTAATTACTCACTGACAAGTCTGTCTCCCGCAGTGCTCCCCACCCTGTGAGCTCCGTGGGTCAGAGGCTGGAACTCAGGGTCACCAGTCCATCCCAGCACAAAGTAGGCCCGAGGCCAAAGTCAGTGTCAGAAATGGATTTGTAAAGCCTGAGTAAGGCTGGGGTGGCCCCAGGAAGCCCTCCTGGCCCATTGCAGGCCAGTCTCTGCCCCTTACCTCAGTCATGTTGACAAACTTGGGGTCCCCAAGCAGGGTCCTCTTGGCATAGGCAAATCGGAAGGCCTCCACGATGCGGTGATAGGTCAGGCCCTTCTGCTCAGGGGTCTTCACGCTCTCCCGGGAGAAGTTATACCCTGATTGGGCAGAACCGGGCAAGGGTCAGCAGCCCCAGGATCCCCGGGACATCCCAGCCGAGGCAGGACAACTGAGTGCTAGTAGGGGCGGGGGTGCTGTGAGGGTGGTTGACACCTCCCCGAGCCGCTTGGCCCACGTTGAGATGGCAAGTGTTTAATAACCAAGAACAATGGCCACTTTGTAGGGATAGAAGGAAGCAAGGATCCCTGGGCCTGGGCCTCACACATCCAGCCACAGGGCCACCCAGTCCACGCGGTCACAGATGACCACTTAGATTTACCAGACGTGCCCTCTGGACCAAGCTGTCCAGCCGTGAACTCTGGCATTGGGAGCTGACCGGGGCCCCAGGCCCTCGCATGGCTGTCCCCACCCTGCGGCTCCTGTAGGCCGCAGAGGGCGGCTCACCTTTGAGGATGTTGAGGATGAGGGCCAGCACAGGTCCGCTGAGCGGGGCGCTGGGCACATAGAGCTGGGCGTCCCCGAGGCTGACACTGAGCGGGTGCTCAATCAGCTCGGCCTGGTAGTTGTTCAGGTCCTCGGCCGTCACGATGCCCCCTGCAACAGGACAGCCCTCGGGGGTGACACAGGGATGGGGCGCACTATCGGGGGGCTGTCGAGCTGGGTGCTCTGTCCACTCCTTGGTCCTCCCTGATGGTGCTCCCACCCCACGGCCAGGCCCAGGCCAGTGCCCTTCACCTGCTTGCCCTGTTGGCCCCGGGGTCCCACTACTCCCCTCTTGACGGCCAGAAGGTCTTCTTCAAGTGGGAAATATCTGCTCCCATCTCCCCCCTGCTTAGGCCCCTCCTCCTACGACTAATGTGTGGGTGGAAGGAGGCTCTTAATTCTCCAGGGAAATAGCTCCAGACAGACGAAGTCTTTACAGGCCAATTTCTGGCGTCAGTGGTAAAGGTTGTTGTCTAATGCCCCTCCTCCGTGACACAATGATAAAAATAACCTGAAGAAGCCACAGCTCAGGGAGAGGCAGTGTGGGGCTCCTGAATCCATCACAACCTGCCCACAAGGTCCCAACTGCAGGATGCTGCATGCAGCCCCTCCCACACCTCTCTCACCAAGCCCACTCTCATCCCCCGTGACCCTCCTGGAGAACTAAAACCCCTTCTCTCAGGGCCCTAGACTATTTTCTCTGCCTACAAACTCTAACCTCATCTGCCATCCAGGTGCCACCTCCTCCAGGAAGCTCTCCGGTATTCATACTTCAGAGCTTTCCCCAATCCTGGCTCCTGCTTACACCTGCATTTATTTACCCATCAGGGCTTTCTCTCCTAGATTGCAGGGTCTTAGCCTTGAGCTAACCAGGAGCTGTGGATCCATGTGGCTTGACACTGACTGCACACCCATTGTGACCATCCTCTGCCAGGCACTCCCCGAGGGCCCAGTGCCCAGGCCAGGTAGGACCTAAGGACCCAGGTCTCTGGGCCCTGGCTCAGGGTTCCTGCTGTGGAGTTCCTCGCCCCAGGCTCCTGAGGTCACCCGCTCACCGGCCTCCTGGATATCCTTGACAATCTGGGCTGTGAGGCTCCCGTTGTAGAAAGCCTGGGCACCCTCGAAGGCCAGCGTCTCGTACGTGTCGGCCAGCCGAGGCATGATCACTCGGTCCCCCTCCCGCAGCACTTTCCCGTCCCGGCAGAACACCTCGCTGGGGCAGAGGGGGCTCCCGTGAGGCAGGCAGGTAGGGCTGACTCAACCAGCCACCCCACCCATCTTCGGAGGAGAATCAAGAACATGGAGCCCCTGTCTGCAGGTGGGTGGCCCCAGCACTCAGGGCTTGTCCTCCAGTGTCCAGTCCAGGCCTCCTAGAGTCCCCTGCCCGTTGGGATCCCTGGGCCAGGACCCCACCACCAGGCTCAGAAGGGGCAGGGATTTGGTCTCCTAGACCCCGCCCCTCTATCAGTCCGGATTCCTGAAAGTGCACTGTCACCTGCCACGCCCCCTGCAGGGACTACAGACGTACCACAGGGAAGGCCGCCCCTCAATGGCTGCCCGGCTTCTTTCCAGGGCTGCTGCCAAGGCCTTCCCCACAGGGAAGCCCTGGCGGGCCAGCTGGATGCTGGGCTGGAACAGGCGAGCCCAGGGCAGCCGCCCGTGCCGCTGGTGTGCCAGCTCATAGCCACGGATCTCGCCGGGAACTGCCACCGACAGCCCCCCTGTGGAAGGAGAGGGACATGGTTAGTGGGTCCACACAGGGGAATTCCCCAGCACATCCCCAGATGATACTTGTGAGGCTCAGGAAGGAAATGGATTTTTGAGGTCACGCCAGGACTGCGCAGGCAGGAGAGCCAATGGGCCAGGGATGCCTGACAAGGACACAGGAGGGAGAGGCGGCGGCTCGCCTGTTGGGTTCTGCTGTCCATCCTAGACTTCTGTCTCTGCAGGTGCCACCGTGTCTGAAACCCTGTGTCAGGCTCACAGCTGTGCAGCAAGAGTATAATTAACCCGGACCCCTACCATCTCTCCAGCTGAGCCTCCCGGACCACGAAGCCTCTCTTGTGACTCAAGGGTTCCACCAGAGCCCACCAAAGTCCCCAGCGGAAGCCCAGGCCATCCCCAAGGCTGGACTGGCTCCCATGGCAAGGCCCCTGCTCTTCCGTTGTCCCAACTGGGACCTGAGCCCAAACCCTTGTCCTGCCTGTCTCTGGGTCTGTATCCCCATCTCCCCTGTCCTAGCAGTGTCTTTTGAGGAGCCCATGATTCCACTGGAAACAGACCCCTGGACCCAGGCTCCCCACTGGGCCCACTGCCCCGACTGGGCCCTAAAGCCGGACACTGACCCAGAAAGTTTCAGCCACAGCCCCTGCTCCCAGGCGCCCTCCTGCTTTCACCCCTGAGATGACTGGGGCTATCTCGGCCACCCCCAGGCGTGGTGGCCGCAGCTCCAGAGCTGCCTCTCCCGCCCTGAAGTTGGGCACAAGTCTCCAACAGCCTTGCATCCCAGAAGGTTTGACACGTGGCTCACAAAGCCCCCCATCTTAAATAAACCCTGCCCTGCCCTCCAGCCAATCAGGGGGTCAGGGGGTGTGGCCAGACCGCCCAAGATGGCTGTCCTCCTGTTCTGTACATCCCCCCCACTTAGTCAGCCCTGGCTTCACCCACACCCTATTCCCTCTTAATCACAGAGAGGTACTCGCCCCAAACCAAGCTAGTGATTGTTTTAATCTTTAGATTAGAATATCTCCACTCTGACTGCTTATCAGCGGGGTGTGTTCCTCTGCTGGTTCCCTGGTAAGCAACTTGAAATTAGTAACTGGTAACCTCCCTACCCACACCCTCCACCCAACAAAGACCACTGCCAGGTCCTGCCCCGTCTGCTGCACAGGATGGGTGTGGCTCCAGGATCTCGCTTCAGGCATGTAAGACCTCCTGTCCATTAAACTAGGGGTGTCTCTGTCACTGACTCTGGGCTCTTTCTTCGGTCTGGAGGGCGGCCAGGTCCAGGGCTTGCAGGCCTGCAGGGTGCAGCCCAACACAGGCTCTCATGCCACCCCTCACCAAGGTCACCAGCGACCCCCACACTCTCCTCTGTCTGCACTAACTCTGGGGGCCCTCCCCCACATCAGGCTCAGGTTCCATTACCTGCTGACAACTCCCAAAGTCACTCTCTGGCCTGCTCCCCTCATGGCCAGACCTGAGGATGTACCTGCCCACTTGAAAAAGGCATCTCAAACCTAACACGCCAGACCCCAACTCCTGACTGTCGCCCAGTCCCACCTCCCTGCAGCCTAGCGGTCTCTGTTAGGGCCACCCTATGCCTCCAGGCATAGACTCAAGCTCATCTGGGACTCTTGGCAAGCACATCACACTCAGCCTGACAGAAAGTCCCCCCAAGTGTGCCAGCACCAGCCACCAGCCACCAACCCCACCCTCAGCTCTCCCTGGTTATCACCGTGACCTCCTGACAGGTCACCTGATGGACAGATAGCTTGGCCCCCTTTTTGCAGCAGCCAGAGGAGTCCTGTCGGACGAAGGCCAGATCCACCCAAGTCCCCTGGGTCTTCACAATGACCCATGAGGTCGGACAGGACCTGGACCGACCTGCCTGACCTTGTGTCCTCCCACCCCCTCCTTCCCGACACGTGCACGGCTGCCCCACCCAGGCCCAGCCTCTGGGTCTCTGCTCAGATGTCCTGACCCTGCTGAAACCACACGCCCTCTGCCTCCCGGGCACACCCACAACCAGTTATCTTTCCTGCTCCACCTGGAATGTCTGATTTCATCTGTTGGGGAACAGCCCCTGATGCCTCAACAAGTCCGAGTTAAAGATGTGATTTCCAAGCACCCAAAGATGCTAAGTCTGTAAGATTCCTGCAGTCTCTCACTCTGAAGGATTTCCTTTCTACATATTGCGAGTTTCCTGACGGGTAAAAATTTAGACTGCATATATGCTGGGGAGGAGTCCAAAGCGGCAGCCTTCAGGGGGCAGAGTCCGCAGTGGGGATCAGACTCAGGACAGCCCTTGCTCCCCACCCCTCCTCCCCTCCAACCTCATCCCGCAATCCACTGGGGTCCTTGCGGCGGCGCCCCCTGGTGGCCACTGGTTCCCCTCGGCTACATGAGCAGTTGGGGCCTCTGGCTTCAAGGCAGGTTGGCGAAAAAAAGACTCTGCTCCCTACTCCAGAGAGCTCTCCCCACAAATGAATGAATGGCTTGGATGCCTGTCAAAAACCCAGGGTTTACACAGCCTGGGCTCAAGCCCAGCTTTACCACCATCTGGCTGTGTGATCTTGGTCATGACCTCTCTGGGCCTTGGCATCCCCACCTGTAAAATGGACATCGACACCATGCTCCCCCTGCCAAGCACAAGGGAGGATTCAAGGGGCTCATCGACGAACAGAGCTGAGCTGAGTGCTGGCCTGGGGCCCCCAGGGTGTGCAAGCTGTTGTAATAGTCATCATCCTGTGCCCATGCTGGCACCAGGTGCCCTGGAGGGACCTGAGCAGAAATAACAGAAGCTCCACCCACTGTGATGATGGGCTTGACCATTCATTATGGAGGGTGTGTGGGCCGGGAAGGGGTGGGAGAGCATCAGCGACCGTGAGAGCCATCCCCAGCCCCAGACTGGGCTTGAGGGGTGATGCTCAAGCCTTCCCAGCACCTCGTCTCAGCCCCGCGCCCACACCCAAGCCTGCACCCCACTGCATCCGCCTCACCTTCCTCCGACTCCTCTGAGCTGTTGAACATGCTGGCAGAGGCCAGCCGAGGGGCCACCTCGCGGGCATTGATGACCTCAGCTTTTCCTGGAAGGAGAAGCAGGTGGGCAGGTGGGACCAACACCAGCCCCTCACCCAACCCGGGTGCACCCCATGGCCACCCAGCTGTGCGTCCGCAGCCCACGTCCAGCCTGAGGCAGACAGCCCCGCCATGCGCCTCCCGCCTGGCACTCACGCGTCGTGCTGTTGTAGATGGTGAGGAACAGGCCGCCCCCGATGCCCATGCTGTGGGCGTTCAGGAGCCCCACGCACAGCAGGGCCGCGATGGCAGCGTCCACCGCCGAGCCGCCATCCCGCAGCGCGTCCCTGCCGGCCACACGTGCCGGGGAGTGAGAGCCCGCGGGCTCCTCAGCCTGAGATGCACACCCCGCCACCCACCTCCCCACCGCCTGGCCACCCCGCCCCAGGGAGAGGAATCCATCGTTTGGGGTGCTTTAATGTAATTCCAAAACCAACGGGCTTCATACGTTCTGCTTCTTCAAGCAGATGTATGTGACTTTCATAATTGGAAAAAAATGGAAAATTGTTACTTTTTATTAATTTTTTCTGTTTAAGTCTTTAAATAGGAATTGATCTGTGTATATATGAGATAGGGGTCTAAAAAAAAGCATAAAGAAACAGAGTTTACCTGCAGAGACAGACACCGTTGAACTGAGAAGAGGGCTCAGCTGAACACTGGGAGACCCGCACCCTGCTCTCAGGGGTGGTGTCCCCTTCTCCCCTGACCAGAGGTGCCAAGAAGGCCCAAGGACAGGACAGGCAGCTCCACACACACTAAACATCCTTCATCCAGGCAGCCCGTTTACCAGGGGGGAAGCAGTCCCAGAAGGGTGAGGGTCTCCCCCAGGTCCACTTACAGTGGCTAAACCCCAGGGCCTGTGTCCCCACGCCCTGCTCCACTCACCTCCCGATCTCCGAGCAGCGCTGGGCGTCCGTGGCCACAGCCGCCCTGGGGTACACGTGGTTGTGTGGCTTGGAGGCCGAGGGCAGCCAGAGGCAGAGGCCGATGACAAGGAGCACTAGGGCCACGGCCAGCAGGGCCAGCAGCACATACCGCTTCTTCATGGCTCTGTGGGCATGGGGGCAGGGGAGTCGAAGGTCAGGGGACCATTGCCGGCCTGGCCTTGGCACACCCCGACCCCCATCCCACCAGGCACAGCCCAAAGTCAGGCCTTAGAAATACCTCCCTGTGTCTCTCTCCAGCCCCCAGGCCTTTTTTCATGACACTCCCTCTGCTGGAAGTTCCTGGCCCCATCTCTGCCCCCCAAATCCTCCTGCTTATCCTCAGGAACCCCACCTCCAGCAGGGATCCCTCCTGGGAGCCCCCAGATCTCACTTCTGGGGAGGAGCCCCTGCTTCTGCAGGGCCTTGTCTGTTTCCTCACAGTGGCAAAGGTCTCCTCCAGGAGGGACCTGCCTGGCCTGACTCTTCCCCGGCACCGTCCTGGGGTCCCCAGAGTAGCCAGCCACAGAATGTAGGGTTCAGCTTCCATCCTGTGCTCCAAGGGGACACCCACAGTCTCCTCCTAAAATCATCAGATCAGCCACTGCGGGACCAGGGCCTACCTTCCTCAGCGGATGGCAGCCCTGAGCCTCCCAGGGAGGTAGGTGGTCACAAAAGATGGGTTTGGCTGAAACGGCTGGAGGAATAACTGGGGTCTCCCTTGTGCACTGCAGGAGCCTGTGGCCACAGAATCTGCTCCAGGGAGACTCCTGGACCACGCAGAAGGCTTGTCTTCCTGAAAAGGGAGAGGGTGTTCCTGGAGCAGGCTGGGCCCAGCCCTCCCCAGGAACTATGTGAGGTGTCGCTACCTCCGGAGGAGCTCTGGAGTCAAGGGGACACTGTCAGCTGCTCCCACGTTGGTGTGAATTCCCCCTGCATTTCTCCCAGGCTCATTGAGGAGGGTTAGCACAGAGCAGGGCAGGGAGCTGTCACGTGACCAAGGGGTGAAGCCCCGTGTGCCAGCCGAGGGGATGGAGCCTGCAGGCATGGGGGCCAGACTGCCCATCTCATCTGTGTGGGGTCTTGGGTAAGTCACTGACTGTCTGTCCAGGGAATGACAGAGGGGCCCACTGGGGCGTGTTGTGAAGGTTAAGTAGGTTGGAAACTATCAAGTGTTAGGTGAACGTCAGCAACGCTGGGGGTGCCTGGTGGCCTGTGTGTGGCAGAGGGGAGCTGGCCAGCCTCTGGCTTACCATTTATTTCCCTGTTGGCCGCCTACCAGGCTGTGCAGGGAGGGATGGTAGTGACCCGTGGGGTCACTATGGCAATGGCTGCAGGCGAAGGGTGTGACCCCAAACGGGAAGGAGAGGTGTGATGACAGAGGCAGGCAGGGGGTCCCCCTCTCCTAGACTCAGTTCCCTCCAAAGGACTGGTGTCTGCTGAGAGCCCTGGGCTGGGGCCTCTCTGGCTCACCCTGTCCCTGTTCAGAGGGTGTGAACTCCAGGGCCAGACATGGTATCCCAGGGATGGTCTAAGGATGGAATCCCACCCCTACGTGCACAGAAGGGCTTTCTCCTCCCTGGGCTCAGGGGTCACACAGCAGACCACCACCCCACACCCCCAGCAGGGCTCAGCCCTCCTCTCCACCTTGACGACTTGACCGAACCTCGACACCACCGTTTCTAGCTCCTCCCTGCCCTCCTTCCCGCTGGCTTTGCCTGCCCTTCAGTCCTCCAACAAACAGCCAGAGAGCTCTCTCCAAAATGCCAACCAGGCCCTGCCCCTGCCACTGCCCCAGGACATCCATGTCCTCTGCCCTCTGTCCTGTGCCAGGCTTAACAGTCCTCAGGGCGCACCCTGGGCCCTGGCAGGGAGGCTGGGTCAGGGTTAAGGCTCCTGATGGAGGCAGCCATGCTGGGAGGGCTGGGCTGCAACCTGTGTCCAGACGCTGAGCTTCCCCATCACAGGCAGCGGGGTTGGGGGGCAGGACAGGGGCCAGTGCCCTCCTCCCTGGCACAGGCACAGCCCCACCCACCAAGGAGGCCCCCCAGTCCTCTCTGTCCACTGGGTCAGGTCACACTGGGCACCTTGGGGGCCTGCCTTCATTTCCCCCCGGGCTTGGGACCATCAGCTGAGAAGCCCTCTCAGGCCCTCCTCTCTCCCCTCAGGTCCCTGGGGTGAGCCAGCCAAGACCTCCTGAGGTCCAAGCTCCAGCCTCCCCTGTTCATCCATCTGTCTGTCCATCCTTCCACCCAAGGGCCCAATGGCCTCCCGAAAGGGTAGGAGGTACCCAGCAAGGCTCAGACTGCCAGGGAGCAGGAAGAGGGGTGGGCCGCACTGACCACATCCCCATCTCACTGGACAGGGCAACAGGGAGGCCTGGCCCAGCCTGACACCCTCAGCCCGGCGGAAGACACCCTGCAGGGGACTGTGCTTCCGTTCCCACCCCCCCCCACATTTTTCTCAAAGAGGCCTGGCTGTCACCCAAATCGGTGTCGGGAAGGGAAACAGCCAAACTGCTCCTCGTGACCCTGGTGGGCTTACCTGAGGCCTGGAGGGAGTGGAGGGCCCAAGAGAGCTTCTGTTCCTTAGAAGACAGCTCTGGGCTGGGTCACTGGCCAGGGAGGAAGAGGCAGATTCGTCTCCCTGAGAAAGTCGCAGCCACAGTGCGGGCCAGGGCCCCCCCCACTCCTGGGAGCTGCCCAGAGCCACGCCTGCGGCCCCTGCAGAGCTCCTCAGGGGGCCTTGGAACTGGGACTGGGATCTGGAGGGGACCCCTCCGAGGAGCGGAAGAGGCAGGAAAGGAGGAGGAGAGGCCAGAGCAGCTCCCAGGCTCACCTGGTCCCGGAGGGGCACCTAGCACCCCCGGAAGGGCAGCTGACAGCCTCAGAACAGGGTGGAGAGTGGGCGGCCCTCAAAGAGCGGCCTAGCCTGGCAGGCAGGACGGCCGGAGGCTGCCGGCACGTCACAGCAGCAAGGAGTGCAGGGACTCAGTCTATCACCAGGTGACTTTAAGTTCATGCAGCCCTGGGAGGGCCCTGGAGGTGGGAGGTACTGTCATCAGTGACCCGTAGGGTCCCCTTGGCAGTGGCAGCAGGCCAAGGGTGTGGCCCCAGTGGGATGGAAAGAGGTGGTAACAGATGCTGGAGTCCCCACCCCCAGATTCAGTGCCCTCCAAAGGGCAGGTGTCCATGGGCAAGCCCTTCAGTGAGCCCCAGGCTGGGTCCCCCACTGGCTCATCCTGTCTTTGTTCAGAGCATCTGAACTCCAGAACCAGACACAATGTCCAAGAGATGGTTCCTGAGGTCATGCAGCAGAGGTTCCACCAGCACCAGACCAGAACCTGGACTGGTAGCTGGACGGCAAGGGTACCTCTCTGGAGCAAGGCCTAGGGCCTTACGTCCAGAAGATTCCACCTATCCAGGCCCAAGAAACCACCTGAACAGCCTTGAAAGGCAGGGCCCAGAGAGGGCCAGAGCAGGTCCAAGGTCACACAGCCCACCAGTGAACACCCAGCCACCCTGTGCCTGCCCTAAGTTGCTGCACGTCCCTGATTAGCCCACCACCAAGGTCCTGAGTCAGGAGTAGCTGCAGACCCAGCCCAGGGGAACTTGGACACTGCCCTCCATTCCCCCTTTGCCTTCATCTGCCAAGGACAAGGCTCAGCCACTTCCTAAGTCACGCCTCCCTACCCCACTCCCCAGCTAGCTGTGTCCAGGTGGCCCAGGAGCCCCCGCAGCCCCCACCTGTAACATCTAGTCCACAAGGACCATGCAAGGCTGCGCCATCTGATAGATGGAAGGAGACGGAGAGGCTGACCAGACACTGCTGCACGCCCTTGTCACGTGGCCAGAACCGGCCCTGTCCCCTCACCCACTGCCCTTGAGCATGCATAGCACAGAACCCACCAAATGCACAGCCGTGAAATCCCCAACCAGGATGGCCCCAGCATGAGGGGCCATGACACTTCTTTCCCTGGACCCCCCGGCAGCCCAGGGTGACTGAGAAGATAGACAAGGAGGAGGCAAGGACCAAGGCTCAGAAACATCAGGGGATTTGGCCCCGCCTAAGTGGCTCACTGGACAGCAGTCAGCTGGGAGGCATTAGTAGTGGAGCGCCACAAGGCTCTGTCCCCAGCCTGAGCCTGCCCTGTAGTTTTATTTCCCTGCCTGGGGTGGCCTGAGACAGGGCAGTCTCGGCAGCAGCAGGAAGGTAGCAAGAAGGTCTGGGTGGGCAGAGGATGGCCCAGACTCCACAGGTGACCCTAACAGGACAACTCGGGGCTGGGGTGAGGTGGAGTACAGAGCGCTGCCGGCCACGGGGCTCAGGGGAAGTCCAGGAGCAGCTGCAGGTTCCAGGAAGGGGAGACAAGAGGGAAGGCGCTTCAGAGGCCGTGTCAACAAAGGCAAGATGTACGAACAAAGAAAGCAACTCCCTCACATGTCAAGTGGTTACATTCTGTCCGAGTCAGCTCCCCACCCCCACAGGCAGAGAGGGGACCTGGTGGCAGTGGGTCTGGGCTGACAGTCTCCTCCAGGCCCCATGGCTCCCCTCCCAGGCACACAAAGTGGTGAGTTCTCCATCTCCAGGAATATGCAAACCTCACCCACCCAGATGACTCTGCCATCAGCACCATCCCCTCCCAACACACACACACACACACACACACACACACACACACACACACACACACACACACACACCCATCCCCTTGGCTGAATCTAGGCTGAGCTAGCAGGTTCCAGGACATAGCAGAGAGGTGAGCGTGAGGAAATGGGACAGAGCAGACAGCCGAGGTTTCTCTGTTACTCCTCCAACCCTAGAGCCACGGGGGTGAACCCAGGCACAGCCCTAAGTCCATTCGCAGGCAGCAAAGTGAGGCTTCAGTAGAAGATCCTCGGCCAAGGTCAGCTGGCCCTGGAAGCACGTGGACCGGCAGGTGGACCCACGACCGCCCCCGCCCCTTTGTCTTCCCTCCCACTGCCTGGCCACGGCGAGGAGTCATGTCCTCCAGGGATGAGAATACAGCTCCCGGCAGGAAGCTTACCATGAGCCAGGCCTGGAGTTGAGGTCTGTCTCTCTGTGCCCACCCTCATGCAAATTCGTATTCTCAATAAGAAAAAGGCTTCTTCCCCCAAACTTAATAACCACAACCAGTCGGAAACATGTGGAAATAGCTATACATGCCCGTGATGACCACAAGGTGGTGGGCGCCCCCTGGAGTTGTGCAATCACACCTTGCACCACTGGCCTGCCCCACCCCTACCACAGCCACAAACCCGAGCCCAAGATGGGCAGGTGTGGCCTGAGGACACGGCACCTCAGCTCCCCTATCACCGCTCTGGCTCCATTGCAGACCTGGACCCCCCTAGTGACCACCCCTTCCCCACCCCAGGTTGTCAAAGCTTTCTGGGCCTCAGTTTCTCTTAATCCAAAAGTCCACTTCCTGGCCCTCCTCCACTCACTGCACAACTGTGGCAGAGTCAGACAAAGCCTGGTCAGGCAGACTCAGATCCACTTACCGGATGAAAAACAGAGGCTCCCAGCTCAGACCAGGTCTAAGGCTCTGCCTTTCTGTGCAACAGCTCTGCAGGGTCAGACCACATGAGCCCTGCTCCCATCACCCTGAAGGGCAGCTCACTCCCATTACACAGATGCAGAAACCAAGGCTCAGAGAGGAAGAGGGGCTCCTCCAGGGCACCACCAGGACATAAGAGAGCTAGGGCTGGAATCCAGGTCTCCAGACACCCCCAGGAGGCCCTCCCCACACCTACGCTATCCAGCAGCACAGAGAGGGTGAGCCGCGCTTTGAGGTCACACAGCTCTTGAGTGCAACCTGTACTGCCCCAGCTCACCTGGCTTCAGGGTTGGTCCTGTTGTACTCCTGCTCAGAGCCGAGTCCCCAGTGCTCAGCTCCTCCCCTCCCTCCCCCTGCTGGCCTGGGTGGGGGGAGGCTTTAAAGGCACAGGAACCTTTCCAGGTGGGAAGAGGACTGGCTCCTTGTCCTGTCCCTGGGGCTGTGTGACCCAGGACAGCAGCTGGCCTCTTGGAGTCCAGGGGGGTCCCAAACCCTGCATAACAGACCTGAGCTTTGAGGGTCTCAGTGGGGCTGAATGAGGCTGGGTTTTAGGGTTCCCTGGGAGGAGGTAGGCTCCCAGCCATTTAGGATACGAAGAGAGGGGTCCCACAGCACTGGGGCACAACCAGACGCCTGCACCAGCAGGGGCGGGAGTGTGAGCATCTGGGTCCTACCAGGCCTGAAATTTCCCTACATCTCTAGGTTAGGGGATGCTCCCTCCCCTACCTTCAGAGCTTCAGATGTCCAGAGGCCGCCACTCTAAGCACCCTGGTCACCAGGGCTGAAGGCAGTCACATGATCTGTGGGAGTCTTTCCTTGCCCCACGGCTTTCTGGGATCAGGAGCAGGCAGGCTGACAGAGGACATGGGGCAGCTGGGGCAGAAGATGGGGCCATCTGCTCATATCCCAGCCCATTGGGGTGGGGTGGGTGCCCCCACAGGCCCAGGCCTGCAGGTGCCTCTGAGGTCCTCATGGGGCCTGCTGCCTGCCAGAACCACACCACTAGCCTGGCCCTGGCTTACATGTCCTCATCCATCATTCGTTCATTCACTCTCCCATCTGCTCCTGGCCCACTCAGATTTTTCCCTCAAGGAGCTCCCAGCCAGCCCAGGAGGAGGGGCCCAGGACCTGGAGGGAGGGGCAGACACCATGGGGATCAGGGGGTGGGAGTCCAGGCTGGCTGGACTGGGGAGGCCAGCCAGGCAGAGGGAAATGTTTGAGCCCACAAGCCAGGCCCTGAGGGCATCTCCAGAGCAGTGAGGGTACAAGGGAGACCTGGACCTCCCTGACCATTCCTGAGCCTTGAGGCATCAAAACTGGAAAAGGAAGTGGCTGAGCTCAGACCCTGAAGGCCAGACCAATGTGTCTGGACTTTGAGAGCCTGGTGAATGTGTCACTGGGCTGGGTAACCCATTAACCCTGGCTCACTCATTAAGATGGTGGGTGACCATCAGCTCCTCAGCCATTCCGGGAGCCGGGCAGAGGGCAGGGGCTCTGGGAAGAAGGGAGTGTTGATGGCGACGCTGGTTGCCAGCCTGCTGAGTTGGGTTCTCTATGTTCTTGTTCCTGGAGGAGCTTCCTTGGGCCAAGCTGGCCTCCAGCCAGGGGCAGCTGCCAAGGCAGCATGGGGGCCCCACACCACCACCCCAATGCCTTTCATCTCATCACCCCTGCCGGGCTGGCACCAGCAGCCTAAAGCTTCAGGGGGCCTTGGCCAGACAAGAGGCTCAGGCCCTTGTCTAGTGGACAGGGAGGCAGGCATCTGGCCCACCCCTCGCTCTGAGATATGGGTCCACAGTGGCCTCCAAGGCCCTTCCTGCTCTAACAGGCTGTAGTCTGCCCCATCTCTGCGCCTGGAAAAACAAGGCATTGGTGGGGCAAGCAGGGTGCTCCTCGCATAGGAAACGGCAGCCTAAGAGGGAAAAGAACTTGCCCAAAGCTATGAGGCAGGACAGCAACCCAGGGAACCCGGAAGACCCTGCAAACCACTTCCTGCCAGCGCTGCCTCACCCCGCTGTCAATCTTGGGCCATGGCTGGTAAACATGCAACACCCCAAACGCAGTGGTGAGCCTCCCTGTGAGTGAGGCAGGCAGGCGGGTCCAGACCCCCATCCTCTACAACCGCCAGGCAGGATCTTGGGGCTCCGGTGGGAGGCAGGAAACCTAAGATCATCCAGGCAGTTTATGTCCCCTGGTACATGCATGAAGGAGACATTTGGTAAAACTGGCTGAACAAAAGTTCATCTTAATCAACTTTAGGGTCATAGAATCTCAGATGTTTGGCCTCTGATCTCCCGTCTCCAGCACCCCAGGAAGGCAGGGGTAGGGGTAATTAAAAGCTGTTGGGCGCCTGGCGCCAAGTCTGTCCCTCTCGGGTGACCAGCTCAGCGGTCACAAGTACCCCACTCCTGGCCGCCCTGTCCTCCCTGCCCATGGTTCCTTGCACAGGTAGCATTTATCACATCACCTAGTAATTATCTGCCGTGTCTGGGAGCTGCAGGGGCGGGTGGGGGCTGAAGGCTGAGTCTTGCCCACACCCCAGCCCCCACCACCGCCCCAGGCTTCATCTCTAGGGATGTCGCTATACTGCCTCAATGGCCCTCGCTTTGGGGGGAGGGGGCTGCAATGCCCCACGCCCACCTCGTCCACACCGCCCCGCCCACCCCCGACCCTGCACAGGACTAATAGACATGTGGTTTCACAGACACCAAAACTGCCCCACACTTTCCATGAATGCCCTGCTTGGCCAGCCTGGGCTTCTTGAGGCCCTGCCGCCTCCCTCTTTCTCAGCATCTCCTTGGCCTCCTCCTTCAGCTCTTCACGCTGGACTGTTACTCTCTCCCTGGGTCCTGCTGAAACGTTCTGTTGGCTGATGTTTCAGGCGCCTCGGGTCAACTCACAAGCCTGGGCTTGAGGAAGGCAGCTACCCTCCCCAGACCTCCACCTGCCACGTTAGCCACAGCCCGCACCGTCCAGCAGCTTTCGCCTCTGCAACCCCTCCCGCCCAGCGCCCCCGACCCCCAGCCCCCCACCGCCACCCCTCCTCACCTGGCAACTCCTCAGGGTCCCCAGCCCCTCCATTTCCCTACTGCAGCCCCAGTGCTAGAGCATGTCCCTCCCCCACTGAAAAACCCTTCAAAGGTGCACGTAGCCCTCCAGATAGATTCCTGTCAGCTGGGGCCCCTCCTCTTCCTCCACACGGTTTACCGGTTGCCCTGCCCCAGGGACTTCAAGCTAGCACTCTGCCATCAGATCCCAACCTCAACGCACTGCCTCCTCTAGGAAGCCCTCCTATGCCTCCTGGTCAGATGTCTTCCTGCAGTGCCCCAGAACCCCCATCACAGCTCCCTACCTCTGCTGTTACTTTGACCTCCTGTGCCTTTATCTCTGAAGTATCCTCAGGGCTCAGTGATTATCACTAAATGGAAGCTAGATGGCTGTCAGCTGGATTTGGTATGAAGCCAGGGAAGATTTATTAGAGCTCACACACGTCCAACACCGATGTGTGCTGGATGCCTCCCTTGACGCATCTAATCCCACAGCATCTTTGCCAGATAGACATTTTATTTTCCTCATTTTATAGATGAGGAAACAGTTTGGCAGAAATTACTGTGAGCACGGCCCTGCCAACGCCTTGATGTCAGACATGCGGCCACCAGAACTTGGAGAGAATGAATTTCTGTCATTTTAAGCCACCAAGTATGTGGTAATTTGTTATGATCACCAGAGAAAGCTAATACAGGTACCTCCTTTGCCCAAGTTTGTAAACCCAAAAGGGGGCAGGTTCTGGGGGATTTGAATCCAAAGCCTGAGCCGGACCTGTGACCCTGACGGTGCTTCCCAGCCTAGCAGAAGGCTCACAACCTGTCCCTTAGAGCCAGCTCCAGGGGAAACTGTCTCTATAGCATGTCTGTCTGATTCCTTCCTCCTGGTGAGTTCTGAAACCATCCTGTGTCCTTCTTTGTAGAGGCTTAGTGGCACCTGGCTACTTGCTGAGGTACCGTCAGTCCTGGGCTGGCCTTCCTCCTCCTGGGCTTGGACTAGCCCACTAAGTGGGTAGACAAGAGATCCAAAGGTGGGACAGGTCCAGTGCAGCCCTGGCCATAGCCTTCCACCTTGCCTGCTGGGTCATCTGGACTTTGGTTCCCTGTCATCCCAGCTGGGCCACCAGCTGTCAGTGCTGCTTGTCTCCTGGTGGGCCCCACTTGGGGCCCAGGATGCCCCTAGCAGGGCCTGGGGTCCGGCGGTATCCCTCTCACTTGACTCTGGCTCCCCAGAGACTCTCTGGCTGTCCGCCCAGGGGTGGCAGGGTTGCCCCCGAGAGACAGGGTGCCAGCTCCTAAACCCCCACTTCAGCCCTGAGGGCTGAGAGGGCAACATCACAGCACCCCCCCCAACTCCACGGGGTCTCCACTAGCACAGCTCTGCTGCCCAGGGCAACTCCAGGGAGGGGGCCAGCAGCCTTCAGTTAAGCACACAGGGAGGCTAGCTAGTGAGGGGGAACAATGCTCCCACTCCCAAGGGCACAGCTCTATATCTGGGGCCTCCTGCCCCAATCAGGTTAGGCCAGAAAGTCAAGCTAGCCACCCCCACCCCCTCAGGAGGCTGAGGGAGGCCCATCCAGGGATTTGGACCCAGATGCCACCCCCCTTCCTTTCCCGGAAAATGTTCTCCAGGAATCTCTCAGCCAAGGACACCGAGGGTGGGGCGGTGGGGTGAGGGGTCGGCCTGGGGAACAGTTCCTCCACTTTCCATAGGACTCACAGCTCTGGACATCCCCCTCTGCCACTGCCTGGGTTGCCCACTTCATGACACCCAGGCTCGGCCCTCTCTCCCCTTGACACCGCGCCCCCACCCCCTTGGCCTTCTCACATCTGAGGGAACAGTGTCCAGGCCTGGCTCAGCCTCTGGAAGAATATGGTCAGGACCTGGGACACATCCCAGCTCTGGCTCCAGCCCTGAGATTGGGAGGGGTCTTACCAGGCTGTCAGCTCTAAGGAGAGGGGTCTGAGAGGCTCCGGGGCAAGGGGGCTGCGGCTGAAGTCTCTGGTCCCTTCACCACCACGTCAGTTTAGTGACTACACCTTGGCCCCAGCGGCAGGCCAGGCAAGCATGTAGGTTTGCCAGGGAGGAAACCTGTGATGCCAAGGTGGCCCCAGGCACGGGGGCTGGGGGAGGAATGGGTCCAGCTGGCAGATGGCAGGAAAGAGGGGGGCCCAGGATAGGATGGGCCCAGGAACAGGCCCAATGGGGGGGCCTAAGCAGGCAACAACAGGGGTTAGGGTTCAGTGGGGAGTCAGGGGACAAGGACACTAACCTGCCTTCTGCCTTTTCTCAGGGGCTCAGACTCAGGGGATCACAGAGCCCAGCATTCTGTCTCCAGACACACTCCTGGGAGCAATTCTTAACCCAGAAGAAGGAGCCTAACTCTTCCCTAACTTACCATGGGCCCTCAGATGGCCTCCCTTCACCACATGGCTCAGCTACACTGTCCTCCCAGGCTAGACACACTCTCCTTGCTGTGTGAGTCGGGGTCTGGAGTCTAGTGCCCCAAATACCCCTTACCCTGGAAATGTGAGGGGCCCAGAGCTGGGGAGAGGTATGCTTTAAGGTGCAGCAGGCCTCCAGCAAAGGCCCCTCCAGCTAGTGGGTTCCTAGCTCAAATCGGTAACCGGGAGCAGCTAGGGACCCCATTTCTCACACTGCCTGCCCACTCCTGTCAGGAAGGAAGCCTAAGTTCAGGGACAGGTGCAGCCCGCCTACTGGTAGCCTCGGCTTGAATGGTTAACCAGCCTTCTCAATCCCACAGTTGTCCCAGGTGTATGTCAGAGGGGGCCCGCCTGTCCAAGTCTGCCCTGAGCCAAGCAGGAGGGGGTGGTAAATATTTGTCAGTGCAGGAGTGTCCACGCAGGGTGGACAGCTCGGATACCACAATTGCTCCCTACAGGGGGAGAGTCTGGAAAGCAGGTGCTGGCACTGCCTAAAGCTGGCAAACAGCAGCGGACCCCTCCCCCCGTCCCCCGCCCTGACTCGAGGTCCAGTGCTCTATGCACGGCCAGAGCAGCTGTTCCACAGTCAGCACTGGGGCCGGAGGGCTGAGAGGCGCCAGGCACCACCTCGTCCGGCCCGGCTCAGCGCCTCTCCCTAGCGGCTCTGGTTCCGGGCGACAGCGCTGAGCCAGATCTAGCCCGGGCGAGGGCCTGCTCCAGC